CGGGTAGTATCACAGCCCATACACAAATCAAGTGGCTTGTATGGAACATATGTACTCCTTTGTACTAATATTTATGTGTTCAAATAAAATAAACTTCCAACGTCAGCAGTTACAAATATGTTTAATAATCTTGAAATTGATTGACAATTCGAAGACTTTAAGTTATTTATCACTACAGACTGGTATCAGAGGGAAAACTAACGGGAACTAAGGAGTTCTAGACAGTTGTTTTGAGCTACGTTTTGGTAACAGTGTTGATTAGATCACAGATGAAAAGTAGAACACTTAACTATTGTGACAAATATGATAAGTACAGACCATTAAGTCAGATCCTCATGATTCGTACGGATAAGTTCTGTCGAACCGTACTATTGGAGACCATCATTATCATAAGTGAAATCTTACTCACTTGGTCACATTGACAAGTTCCATCAGATACGCCGTAAATTTTGCTTTTAAAAATTTGTGATAAATCTGTCTACTTTTCAATAGCAAGCTATGCCTAGCTCCATATTTCTTCATAAGTGTGAACCAGGATCCCAAAAAGTATAGCACATAATTAAGCTACTAATATTTGAGTACTACATGGGTATCATTGATCCACATGATGAGCAATGGTGAGTATAATACTAAGTAGGGATGGAAGATCAATTGATTATACAATGTAAGTGGAGTAATTGCATTCATTGTTTACCTTCTTCCATATCTACACTTACAATATTATTCAAAACTTTCTTCTCATCAATTTCACTTAATGATTGAATCTGTTATATCTTTGTATCAAACAGAATCTTTACAAATCATCACAATTTTTTTAAAAATCAATACAAACATATTTAGATAATAAGATGATATCATACTAATGATACCATTTATTCACATAAAATAGGACTAATGAAACCGATTATTTCTATACTACGTTTAAGAAAAACAAACTCATTAAACCTCTTGAACTCAATCTCATTAAACATTTCACTTGGAATATATCTATTCTTTATATATTTCTTATATACCCTGAATTATAACTACTAACAGTATGCCAAAATATTCATCAAAAAAAAAACAACCAAAATAAGGATAATACAATACAAAAGTATGTAACTGTATAAATAGTATTAAGGAAGTGTTAATGAAACAATGCAAAACTCTTGTGTGCTCTCTTTCTCTTTAAATAATATCATTATACTAATTCCTATTCAAAACAATAAAATAATATGGTTAATATTTGTGCAATTTAGGTCTGCATCATTATTACTACTACTATTATATTATTATTATGAGTAGTGGTAGTAGTAGTATTAGTAGTAGTAGCAGTAGTAGAAGTAATAATAATAATAATAATAATAATAATAATAATAATAATAGTGGCAGTAATAGTAGTAGTAGCAGTAGTAGAAGTAGTAGTAGTAGTAGTAGTAGTAGTAGTAGTAGTAGTAGTAGTAGTAGTGGTAGTAGTAGTAGTAACAGTTACAAAATGAATTGCGAATGGATACAGTAAGTGTAGTAATAAGATTTTATTCAGTGGTTCTTCTTTTCTTTCTTTTTTAGGAATATTGCTATTGCATTACAAATTATTAAATCTACATGCATATTCTCTATTGTACTAAATGAAAGACAAGTAGATTGATATCAAACTGAGAATATATAATCAACTGATAAACTGATGAATGAGTATATATATACTTTTTAAATCTGATAGTAATTGAATTAAGCATGAGATTTCGGTTAAGGGTTATTTAATTTTATAAATAATGAAAATAAACTGTGCGTTAAGAAGAGATCAATTGTTAAGTAAGATCAATGGGGAAAGGGTTTGACAAGAATTAGTTTGACTAAATTAATTGTAAAATAAGGAATAAGAGCTTAATGGTGAAAAATGCTTGACTTTCGACTGTTTAATTGTAGGCTAGAATATGAATCCACTCAGGTTTTGGATACTTTGTAATAACATTAACCATAATGGAAAAAAATTCAGTTCAAAATCAATTTCACAAATGAAAACTTATAGATGATATATCAGTGGGCAAAAGCTGTAGGAGTTTCGTTTTATCTGAGAACTATTTTTCAGCCACTATTGTACCAATATTAATAAAACTCCAAAAAATAGATGAAATAGTCAACACTTTCAATTAATCCATTTGTTATGATCAGATGAAGTCTTAAAATTACTTATTCTTATAGACAGTAACAAGGTTAAACTATACATTGCGAATTTAAGTCATTGCTATCAACAATAATGATTAATGACAAATGACAATGTAACCGACTTATTAGGCACAAATTTACACATAAATGACTTTAAACCATGCACTGTGAGATGATAAAATATGTGGAGAAAGACTCGAACTTTGGACGCTGTCATTGGTTGAAAATCAGTTGTTTTTTTTGGCTAATTAATCTTCTCCTTCACTAAAGATCAATCATATAAATAACTTACAAATCTTAAATCTTATTATCTATAGTGGATAGTAACAAATACTTTGAAGTTTGCATGCAAAATACAGGTTAATAACACGAAACATGAGAAATAGAATTAGATGTTTATGTAACTTGTAGAATTCATATCAGACTTATAGTATAATTATAAAATGCAACCGAAATTAAGTTTGATTCAACAAGAAAATATCAATGATGCCAACTAAAATGATAATAATAATAATAAATAATATTAAATCTAATTCATTATAGTAATTACAATAGTTGAGATCATGAGTCAATTGAAGCTGGACCACCATGGAGAACCTGGAAGCACGAGAAAGTCGTTTTGTTCTATTGTGGGACACCTCAACACTGCGCATCAACGATCCCGCCTCACGAGATTTGAACTCAAGACCTGTCAATCTCGCGCGAGAGCGATTAACCATTAGACCATTGAGCTGACCGGCATCCAACGGTGTTGATGTGTAACTTCAACTATTCCACGAAATCGAGCGACACTTCCATCATTATCTTCAGTGAGTTACTATCTCACAACAGACCCGGTTCAACTCCACTGGTCACGGCTTCTCACTAGAACTCCAGGAAATACCTCTTGAAGCCAGTCACTAGTGAGCATATGTTGATTAATATCAGATGGGTTTTGTGAATATTATGGTAACACCATTGGATGCTGGCTCAGTGGTCTGGGGGTTAGGCGTTTACGCGCGGCTGATATGTCCTGGGTTCGAGTCTCGTGAGGTGGGATCGTGGATGTGCACGGTTGAGGAGTCCCACGATAGAACAAAACGACTTTCCAGTGCTTCCGGGTTTTTTATTGTGGTCTAGCTTCAATTGACTCATGATCTCAACTATTAAAATTACTACAATACCCACAAAAAACCCATTCTTACGCTAATTCATTATAATCATTTAAGAAACCTGATTTATATCTAATTTAAAGGCAAAATTTTAATTAAGAATAGTTTTGGTTAAATTAAAACTTAACCCCCTCCTATACTGATAGATTTAATTAATTAAACAAAAATGTGTTGGAAACAAAAAAACAACAAGCTGTTTATTATGATTAAAAGCGTTGGAAAAATTCTGTATATATATAAGGCATACAGACAAAAATTTGATCATTAATTAGTTGCTTATTGTTTCTGAGACAATTGACCGCTCTGATAGTTACAAACAAAAACAAAAAAAAACTGAAGGTTGACATAATTCATTAAAATCCTAACCAATCACGATAGAGATCATACATAAACAACCGACTCACAAAAACGGTAGTCAAAAATATTTATAATCCCATGACTGCAAAGTGTATGTTTTTTTCTCTCTCTGAAATTAAGCTTAAAAATTAACTATATACAATTTAGAGATTGACTTTATAACAAACTATTAAATTGAAGGTTCCAAAACTCACTTCATCTACTTTAATTTGGTCAATCGATTAGGAGCATGAATAATAACACAGTTTAATTGTGCAATTTGAAGCTTATTATACAAATATGTAGATGGTAAAAGGGTTAAATCATTATATTTTTATTTTAATTTTACTGGAAGGCAGTTTTTGCCAACTAGAGAACTATCAAAAAGTCATGGAGCACTGAATAGTTGCTGTATCATATTTTCAAATTCTGACAGGTTAAGTGAATTTAACAATATTTTATGCCTGAGCTCAAGCGACATCACAAACTCAAAAACTGTAGGTTAGAAGTTGTAAATGGGGAACGCTACCGAGATAAGTCGATTATACACCTAGTCATGTTCTCAGCTTACATGTTATTGAATAAGCAGTAAAGACATGTACGTGTATCACCACAGTTTGTGCACATCATAATTCATTTTAATAACTAAATCCTCTTACTTATTTAATCTTCTTATCTGAATTGTGAGATCGATATACCGTATGGAGAGTTGAACAGTAGAAAACAACAGATTCATTTGTGAATTTGAATGATTCTACAGTCAGTTTCAGTTCAGGTTGAAAGCTAAATTCAAACCGAATAAATTTCAAAAGTCCTTAATGATTAAACAAATCTGATAATTTTTCCTCGAATTTTAAGCTTATGTATTCATATTCATAATACTTCTTACAGTTGATTCTAAACTATATTATTTACTCATTATTTAGTAATCAACACAATGGTTGCTTACTCCTCCAATGTGTTCACTGAACTCTACCGACCAAGTTGAAATATAGTCACCAATCTACATGATTAGACATCTCGTACATTATATCTTGCTGTCAAATCCCAATAATCACGAACTCGTGATTAACTAATGCTTAACAATAGTTGCAACTCTTTAACAAAGCACGTCTGAAATCCAGAAGGAGCTGATTTGTCCATGGGACTTTAACCAAAGTCAAGCGACATCAGAAAAGTTGGCACTCAGCGATGTAAGTTCGAATACTATAGGGAGCATCAATGTCATCAACACTGTGAATGTCATTTGACGACTACTACGAAGTGTCTTCCAAGTATGACTTCCTATCAATTATCTCCAACCACCTAATATTAAATTAAACAGACTTAACATTATCTAAGTAACTAACAAACATAAATTTGATTCACCAGTGGAAGGTCCAATATCCATCGAATTTTGATAGGGGTTTTCTCCAATCGATTTTTCGAACTGGATAGCGTCTTTATTATGAGCAACTTGAAAATCAGTTGCTTCACGTGAATCACTGAGTTTCGTGTTATTTTCTGACTCTTCCGGTATTCGAGATAAAGAAGCATTCGATAGGACATTAGAGTTCGTTATGACTGAATTATCCAAACATGAATTAAATTGTTCATTAGAAGATATTTCAGAAGAAGAGGAAGAAACTGTATCATTATCAATGGAAAATTCTGAAATTGGATTGAAAGATGACATTTCCTCTTGAAAATCTGATGAATTTTTCCCACTTATTTCCATCTTATTTTCTGACTTGTTCAATAATACTACACGACTACTGACAAAATCTTCAGTTTCATCACGCCTATCATCTAGTATAACTGATGAAAGTGAAGTAGACTCTTGAACATAAACTGAACTGCCTAATTCTTTCACTTCTTCCTCACTAGTTGTTTTCACTGAAGTACGCCGAGGATGATGACGATTACTATTATAACTGTTACGTCGATCATATAACTTCAATTCACCACGTTGTGAACCAACACGATTAAAATGTATTGGACTAGGTAGAATATAAGTGGAAATTTCAACAGTAACAGGCTTATGATCAGTTTCATAGAAATTTTTATTAACATCATCATCATCAACATTATTATAGGGTTTACCTTGACTTGATAACTCTTTACTTGAATCACTGACATGAGTATTGATTGTTCTGTTGGTGTATTTATGCATAATATCAACTTTATCATGATTTGTCACTCCCATTTTAGATGAATCGCCTAAAATAGAACTATTCAATGAATCTGATTTGCCTAATGCTTCAGGTCTTGAACGTTCACGACGACCACTACGCCGATCAACCAATATAATATTACTTCTCTGAGATCCCACACGACTGAATACAACACTGCCGTCAGTCTCCTCAACAGATGTATTGGTTTTTGGAGTAATATTAATAATTTTGTTAGTTGGTTCATTCATTGATGAAACTGATGATATGTTGGAAGACAAGAAAAGTGAGGGCCGAATGGAAGAAAATATAAAAAACATGAAAAGAAATGCATAGAGACAACATTAATTAAAACGAGTTAAATTGTACGCGTAATATACACAATCCGTCCAATAAACACGCAAACTGAGATTATAGAAACTTAAATTTATTAACTTTGGACTACACTCATATTCATTCTTCTTCAAAACGGTCCTCAATTGTACAGAAACAAATACTTTGTCTCCGTTTTCTATGTCTCAAAACATTTATGGAAGTCCTTTAGCTCTTTAGCTACCTGGTCGTTTCGGGTTGCATCATTTTCGCATTGTAACAGTGCTGCCTGAGAATGATTACTTTTCATTTCCGAATCAAAAATATCACCAGGGGATAGGTCTAATGAGTAGGAATGGTGATCTAAAGTGATTATCGGATTACAGAAAAAAAAAGAATTAGTGTATAATCACTGTTGAATATACAAGTGTATTGTCACGATGCAACAATTATCCATTAGTATCCTATAAATGTTGTTGGACCTTTTAACAGAACTATCTTCGTCTTTCATCTTCTACTTTCTGTTCGTTCACACAAGGTTAGATACAACACTAGTGGTTAACTGTTGAATTATGTACATCATAAACAATCCTAATAACTCAGTTCACGCATTTACTAGGAAAACCATGCATGAGATATATATATGAGATGATTATTTATAAATGGATTAATAAAAAGTATGAAAAATGAAGTTAGTTAGATTCACGTACTGTTTTGTATGTATGAATTAACAAAATGAATGGTGAAAATAATGATATTGGTTATAATGATAAATGATAATTCATACTTAAGCCCAAAAAATCAGACACAAATAATATTGATGAAAATAATATCAGAGTTTTATCACAAATTGATATGATGGTAGATCATTAATAAATTTATTGATATCAATGTTAAGAAGTAATGTAATCAAGAAGTTTAAACGGAAGAGTTAACAAATCTACATAATATGGAGGGGAAGAAGAAGAAGAAGAAGAAAGTAATGAAACTGATAAATAGTAATGGTTTTGTCAAAGTCAGATGTCCTGACATAATGCTAAAAGATAATGTCATCAATGATGGAGATCACTTGGGGGGGACCCCTTAATTTGTGACCAATCTTTAACATTTATGTTATGAACAAAGACTGTTTTTAAAAAAAAATCTGGATTATATAGTGGCCGGTGGATTGATTTTGATTGTAAATACACAATCCTTACTAGTCAGTAATTCTTATTCAATATTACTTTCATTATCTGACTAATATTGACTTTATATGCATGTTATTTTCTTGATTATTTCCTCCTATTGTGTCAATTTTATGTGTCAATTTACTTAAGGGCCAGGTTCTATGTTATCTATAGATGACTGGCTGGGTGGATGACTTTATTATTTCACTAATAAACATCGTAGCTATCTTGATGATTACAGTAACTTATAGCAATTTCTAAAATTGTTTTCTTTTATAAACTGCATATTTGTATATAATTTGCACTGCTTAAAATGACTTAGAAAAACAGTCAATAGATTCCATACATTAGTGTTACATTTTAGCATGCTATCCCTTAGCTGTTTAACAACTTACTTCAATACAAGCAAAGATGGAAGGTGGCTGGCTAGCAGTGGAACCCAGGGCGTGTGTTTCATCCTATTTTGGACTTCTCTACGCTAGCCAGTAATATACCTCTAGAACAGTCATTAAAGCTTTACAATTAGAATTTTGTTACGAAAACTTATCACCTTAAAGAATGCAACATCAACAACGTCTTCACCTGAAAACTTCTACAAATACATTTTTTCTCCAAATTATTTAATATTATCAGAAAGGGGGTTTTGTGAAGATTTTAGTAATTTAATCGTTGAATTCATCAGTCAATTAAAGCGGGATCATGGATGCGCACTACTTAGAAGTCCCATACTAGAACAAAACGGCCGTTCAGTACGTCCACATTTTTCATAGTGGTCTAACTTTAATCGACTCATGAATTCAACTATTTAGTATTACAATGATTAAGATCATGAGTCAGTTGAAGCTCGAATCTCGCAAGGGGCGAGGTCGTGGATGCGCACTGCTGAGAAGTCCCACAATAGGATGAAACGGCCGCCCAGTGCTTCTAGGTTTTCCAATTAAAATAGCTTCAACTTACTTATGATCTTAACCATTGAAATTACTTTTAATATCCAAAAAACCCATCTGATATTTAATATTACTTAAAAGAACCAGAGAAGGAAGGAGAAATCGATAATAAATCAACAATATTTCAACTTACTAATATGACCTTAGAAATTTATATGATTTCACAATGAAATCTCTTGTATTTAATCATAAAAACTCGTTAAAATATCTCTTTAATGCATATTAACAATGATAATCGATAATTATTTGTTTATTGTAAAAGATGGTTGAAGTCGGTGATGATGTTGGATACCTTTCTTCCGCCAAACATATATATATATATATATATATATATATATATATATATATATATATGTTTTAACCAATCACTTTGGTTTTATGAGCAGTGAGAAAATACTAGATCTTATTTATTGAATATGCATAAGTGATTTTGCATAAAAACGTCTACTTTATTATAAACTATATACAAGTTATAGAATAGTGATAATCAACTGACAAATATATAAATTTGCATAGTGTTTGGTGATAAGGAAACAAACAAGTAAATAAATACACATATATGCAACTACAAATGAGAAGTGTACATTGAAAATATTGTGTATGTGAAAGAGAGTCAGTTATGCATGAGTTCTTGTATTCATTGTTGGTCGAGACTTTCTAAACGACTACAACTAACGAAGCGTAATTAATGAATTGACTACCGAAGTTAAACATTGCGATAGATTGTGTTGAACGATGGATATGCAATGGTCAAACGCTGAGTAGTTTATTTGTGTTAAATTCCTGAGACATACATCAAACTATTTATGAATTAATCTGAATAAAACAGATGCTTCCTGTAATAGAAAAATATCCTATGACTCAACCCGGTAATGTTTTGAATTTTTGAAACCTCCAAAAAATCGGCTGTTTACTTACTTGATACTTCGTTGTTTTCTTTTTGTAAACTTAAATTTATGGCTTATTCTCGTTAAAATTCCCTAATCAAGGTATCCTCACTTCTACTTGACGTTTAAGCTGATGATGTTATTCAGAAGAATAAAGAAGACTTCACGATCAATGTGTTCAACTCAGAAAACAAAACTCCAACAAAAGACATCTTTCATTTTTACCACTATCAGTCATATTGTTTACCTATTGATTTATTGTTCGATTAATATGATAACTGATAGCTCCATATTCACTTCACCCCTTTTGAATAGATGTTATAGTGGAGGACGTTTAATATGATTATCAAGACTGACGAGCTGCACTCATATGACAAGTTCCAAGTAAGACAAAACGCGCAACTCGAATTCTACTGATAGTTAAAGTCCAAAAATTCTGTAAAACATATCTATAGGCAGTATAGTGGTAATTGTTCAGTATGCATACTAACCAACACAAACATCGAATCTAGCCTTCATTAATAGCAACGGGATAATGATGTCATGTTATTATTAATCTAATCACTAACCTGTGAGTTAAACTCAATCATGGATACATGAAAATCTATAGTGAATTCAATTTAAACATTTTAAATTCTATGAAAGGGACTATAGTTCAAGCATTATTGTAATTTATGCTAGAATAGTTTTTGCAACTTCTGAAAAACCTAAGCAGACTGTAAGTTATAATATTTGTAGACGATATTTCTAACAGATAGACCACAGCTGAGGTATCAAACGACACTAAATATTGTTGTTAGTTGTATCATGGGAATAGCAATCCAATGGCTTAGTGATCAACGACTTGATAGAAGACCTGAAGTTCGTGGTTTCGACCCCTAGAGAGATCTTGGGTTCCCATTTTAAAAGAAAAAAATCTATTCTAGGGTATATGACCTTTTAGAAAAGTTGATATTACAAAACAACCGTTTAATACTTCCTAGTTTTTAATAACTTTTCCAATGATGTCATTCGTTTAATGTTAGGAAAATCTACATAAGTCATTGAAAACAACATTTGTTTTGTTTCCATTTTCTAAAATCCATACTTTGAAAAGATGATATTTACCGTGAAAATTATTACAAAGAACATAAATGACTCAAGATAACATTAATTATATACCCATAATTACAGTGGGTAAAAAATACCAAGAAAGAATAATTTTTTCCCATGCATCTATATCGATTGAAGAACAATGAACAATTAAGGATGACGTATATTTTTGTTCTATCCAACTTTGGCGAGTATTAATGTCAGATCGGATTTTTGTGGATATTGTAGTAATTTTAATAGTTGAGATCATGAGTCAATCAAACCTAGACCACAATGAAGAACCTGGAAGCACTGGATGATCGTTTTGTCCTACTGTGGAACTCATCAGCAGCGCACATCCACAATCCCGCCTCACGAGATTCGAACCCAGAACTTATCAGTCTCTCATATGAGCGCTTAACCTCTAGACCACTGAGCCAGTCGGCATCCAATGGTGTTAATATCTGACGTCAACCAATCCACGAAATTGAGCGACACATCTACCATTGTCATCAGTGAATTACTATTTCACGATAGACCCGGTTCAACATTACTGATCACTGCTTCTCTCTAGAACTCCAGGAAATACCTCATGAAGCCAGTCACTAGTGAGCATATGTTGATTATTATCAGAAGGGGTTTTTGTGGATATAATATTAATTTTAATAGTTGCAATCATGAGTCAATTGAAGCTAGACCATGAATACTTTATGAGTACCTTTACATCTTGGCAATGAATAGCATAAAACTTTAAACAAACAACTAGTATTTCCTATGAATTACTTATAACTAACATGAAATACTGGAGAATATACCAGATTTCAAATTCTTATTCTGAATATATTATATTTATATGAAACATTATAAAAAACGAACGGAAAAATGCTGATTTAGTTAATCGACGTAATTGCTTAATCAACAAATAAACACCGTAATTTGAATGTTCATTAATCAATTAAGTCAATAAACTTATCTCAATTAAATCCACCTTTGAACGGATCACGTTTTTATTTATTTATTATTACCATCAAATTAACTAAAACCTCCTGATAGTTAGAAAAAAGACAGTATCAAAAGCTGTACACTTATCAGTATTGATGTATATATGAAGAATTGTAACCATTCAGAATCGAATTAATCTTCCATTTATAGATTATTCGGTGAAAGCTAGTCTTGTAACCATTTTTTTTCAACTCATTTATCAAGTACAAGTCAATACCTTCGGCTATGTGTCACATTCTTTTGTAAGGACTGGTGATATCAACCTTCGTGTTTAGACCAATGTCAGAGTAGTGGGATTCGAACTAGTATCTTAGTTCTAAATTTAGCTAACCATAATCATATTGTACTGTAAGCACTTAATTTATGACTATTAAATTTGAAAGTTTAAACACAGTTCTTTTTACTTTAAGTTTCGGTAGTCAAGTGTTATCACCAGCTTTATTATAAAATGTAAAGCCTAGAGTCGGTTATACAAATATGCATTGTGATTATTATTATTATTTTAACACATAAATATTGGTACAAGCAGGCACCAAATACATATGCGCCACACAGATCTCATTCGATAGTGTGAGGGCTGTGATACTGCCCGGGTGCCCAATGCATTGTGGTGCATTGAGTTGTAATCAGTTGTATATAGAAATTTATAAAGAGGGTTTATTTATTCTGCTGGTGATATTATTTGATCGAACGTTTTCTAGGACAACATGGTGAACCAAAAGATTATATCTATATCTGCCCATAACTCATTGAAATCTAGATTAATTGTTCTGGATAAATTCACCTGAAAAAGTGTTATGTCAATCGTAGTTTTTCGAATTCGATGATATTCCCTTCTCTACAATTTTTAAAAAAAATACCAATCACATTCACTTTCACAGTAGTTTATCCACTGGTATTAACTAATGCTAGGTTTGTCTCGTTAGGAGTTACTTATGTTATTGGTTACCTCTAGGAAGGATCTAAAGATAACCTACCTCACAAACTGATTTCAGCTAAAGAATCAATAAGAACTAAGAAACGTTCAACTGCTATTTTATTCTGCTTAATGGTGCGTACCATCGATTGTACATGAGATCAAAACCAGGTCTCCTAGTTTTCATGTCATTGATGATACATTTTTACCACTGCTTCGACATTTGTAAGTTCATACTTTTAGTTTCGATGAATCCATTGAAGGGTTTTACACTAAGATGAAATAGCCTCCTTATGTTATATTCAACTATATTTATCCAAAATATACTTACCAGCTAAGCTACTTCTAGGTGATTGGATTAAATTTACGTCCGAATGAAGGTAGGTAAACTCCTGGTTACAAAGAACGCGTCCAAATTCCATACTATCAATATAAATAGAATAACGTCCAGGCTGTAGCGAAGGCATATGGATACGTAACTGCGATAGATCAGATTGACTTGACTCATCCAAAAACCAATCATCTCTAGAAACTGGATGGTCACCAACAAAAACGGTAGATCGCTTCATTATTTCAGTCGTGAGGAAACGGCAATAAATTGTTAACTCAGTACCACCTAGGAAATAGAAAGCAAATTACAGCAGTTTTTTATTAGAAATAAATCACTTCATGAAAAACACATTCAAGAGAGATCAAAGAGACTAGCGAAGTTAGAACGCCTAAAAACAGTACATTAACATACGTTGTCACACATTTAGACAGGAGAGACAGTAAAATTCAGGAACAATTATTTATAAACTCAAGGTCCGATCAACAAACAATTAATTGTTACTTGTCTCATCTTTATTTGAGTATATTAAAGGTATACCTAATTCAGTCAAAATTTAACAGCGAGATATGTGGTAAGTGCGTATGTAAGATACACGTTTTAATACTCTGAACCCATCTTATCGATTTTCTTAAGTAAAATCCTTTTTCTAATTTAAAGAGACTTCAGAATTGTTCGCACTCTTTTAGTCTTGGCATATTATCCATCTTAAGGAGTCATATTTTACAATTGTGAAAGAGAAACATTACAAACTACTTAATTATACCTAATCCGAAGGTTACACACGAAACTGAAATCTATTTGAAGACAAGATAACCATCAAGCTGTGCTAATGTAGTTTGGTAACTTGGATGAATACATTTATGTGTTACAATTGATTGGTCACTGGGCAGTGATCAATGTCATGTATGTTAGGTCCTTCTTAGTGCGAATCAAATTCTATCGACCAAGTTTCAATGTGGGTGACACAGGATCGAATCCGTCAGGAAGCATCAGTTCCCTCAAGATTACAGGTATATCTTGCTGACGAGTGCCAAGTAGCACGAAACCTAGGTCTAGGGTTTCCTGTTGATTACCTCCTACTACCATCTTATTTATGTGTTACATTCTACATTTTTTTACAATTAACTGACTAGTGTCAAATGGACAACGTATCAAACTATTCCATTTTCTTAGTATGAGAATCAGCTAATTAGTGAGATGTATCAAGTTTATTTATTATAGTAGGTCATTATTATGGTTTCAATAACTTTGATTGCAAAATATTTCTGTAACATTACTACTATTATTAGTGGCTTTATTCAATATTATATTTTTGGTATAATATAGGATTCTCAGTACAAAATATTTCAACAAGTTTCCTTTTCTTATTTCTTGATCGATCCCGGAGATAAATATTAAGTAGACGCCACCTAGATATTAGCAATTCTGTAATCGACATATGAATAATGCACCTTCTTTACAATGCATATTGCCAGCCACCATGATGTCCCTGACTGTAATTTTTTGTAACCTGTACAGCGAAATATCATAAACTTTTCACAGACACGCCTGAATAGATTATGGGCTTAATAGACACAATGATGTGCTAATGCAAACAAAAGTAGATAACTTGTTGAAATAGCTAGATGGCAGAAACAGGTAATCCAGTTATTCAAAAAGGGGTGACTTGTTGAAAGTTGTATCATTGATTTTTGTTTCTCAAAAATTACTATTCCAAATAATGATCATATATTTACAGAATACAATGAATTCATTACATTTCATGAATGGTTTCTCTACATTTACATACAAGCTAATTAAATTAAATCAAATTATTTCCAATTTTCAACATCATTTTGAATGTGAAAAATAGATTATCGTTCATTTCGATAGAGTTTTGTTCTCTGAGCTGGATGGTTTGGTTCATTTAGCTTAGAGAATAAAACTCCATCAAAATCATCCATCTTAGCTACAAATTTTTCCCCACCATCTCAGTGATTATTATTCAATAATCAATAAGTTTCATACATCTTGATCTTTTAATAATTTTTTTATATCAAAACTAGAATAATAAAATTTGTAGAATAATATAATTTCATTTTAGTTCAAGATTTCGCATTAGATACTATGATAATAGTTCATTTGTAAACAATTTGTTGTTTGTTTTATTTTGAGGGGGGGGGGTTATTCACCAACTCTTTATTATCATTTATAAGTCTAACCCTTTCTTGTTATGACCTCATCTTTAACAAACAAATACTAATCAGTTTTAACAATTATGTTAAATATGCCATTTGTTCTCTGTATTTCCTAGGTTGTTTCTAATTAAACTTCATTAATTACAATGTTTAAAAAGATTTTATGATAATAATATTATCAGATTGAAGATTTATGGAGATTGAAGTATGTTTAAAGTTGAATTCATGAGTCGATTTCCACAAATCCCCATTCTGCTCACTAGTGACTAACTTCAAGATGGGTATCCTTGACTTCTGGTGCGAATCCATAACCAATGGAGTTCAATCCGTGTTTGGTGTGAGACAGTTATTCACCTCAGATAATGGATGGAGCGTTGCACATAACCATAGATTGATACAAGTTAGACATTAACACTGTTGGATGCCAGCTCAGTGGTCTAGAGGTCAAGTGTTCGCGCGCAAGACCGAAGGTCTTGGGATCGAATCCCGTGTGAGGGATAGTGGATGGGCACGGCTGAGAAGTCCTTTTCTAAGACGAGACATCAGTCCAGTATTTCCAAGTTTTCAATGGTAGTATAGCTTTACTTGACTCATGAATTCAGCGTTAGATAATATTACAAACGTAGGTTTATGACGTTCGCAGTTGATTAAGAGCCTTAAACTACAATGAATTTATGTTATTCTGTAAATCTTGTTTCCCTCATCTTAGTTAAATGAATAAGTTGTTTGAGATTTAGGTGAAGTTAGGAACTACAATTTTAACAAGGTTTTTATAACTGCTTAGGGTGATAGTTCTGGAATATTTAAAGTAATTTTATAACATAATCGTAATAAAAAAATCTATTGAGGTTTCGAAACAAAAAAGACAGATATATGGGTTAAAATCACTAAATTATGATTATCATTTATCAAAGAACAAAAAGGGTGATGTGAACCAGATGCTTAAAATTATAGTCAGTTTGCTTCATAGAGAATAGGATTTCAATGGTCTAAGTATTTATGGATCACTTATTGAAATTACAGGTTCGAGTACATTAAATTAACCTTCAAACTCCTAAGGTAGTTCTTTATCACAGACTTACATCAACTAAGGAATCATTAAAAAATGTGAAACAATAAATAACTGTTTTGTTCTAGTTTAAGACTGTATGATACATTGCCTGGGTTTAAACCAAACAAAATAAGGTTTCATAATAAGTACATTGTCCTTAAATCACTAAATCGGGACCCAGTATTTGGCATTCTAAGCTTCAATTAATTAACGATATAGCCCAACTATCATTTAGTGTCATCTGGTAGGTAAATAAAGACATGAAATCAATCCATGAAGTCATTGACTGCTGATCTGTTATATATTGGTAAGTGCAAACTTGCTGTTTGAGATCCACGGATTACTCATAGTCAATGGTTTAAGAAGTGGGGTGAGAAAGAACAAATTGATTGTTGTAGTACAAATGCAGATATTCTCTTCTTTCCTTTAAACAGTGAGTATCGTTCCTGACTCTTCATTCTTTGATCTCATTTCTTTCTTTTGAACTGCATCTTATATATTTAAATCTCTATTACAACTACAGTTAGTTCCTTTCCTTTGCTTCTCATCATACTGGTTTCTTCTCTTATTATATTGATTTAACTTGTGGTGTGTTGGACTGACATATTTGTTTTCTACGTTAACAATCACTTACTTACTGGCTGACTCTATTGGCGGTAAGAGCTTCACATGAGATTATCGGGAAATCAACCTCGTAACCCATCGTTAATAAGTACACAGCTATAATTCATTTAAATTAGTTCAATTCTATGAGCTTTGTCATATACTCAGAGGTCAACAATGTCATTACATAATTCTATAGCAAAGTTGCACTACTTTAATAATTTACAGTCATTAGGTCGTTTAAATACATACAGTACTACTCTGTAGTGAAAGAAGAATCAAAATAATCACTGAAATATATTACCGAACCTGTTTTTTTAATACATCCTTATGAAATTACTGATCAAAACAATCTTGCATATCACATAATCTACTATCACTAAAGGAATGAATTTTGATCACAAAGGTCGAGTTATATTTTTGGTTATCATCACTAGTAATATTTGATAAATGCGATTATACTGACTAAAAATGATGTTACTGCAAAAAGCAAACATCTTTGATAAATTACATTCTGTGATTACTCAGTATGAATTCTTAACCTTAAAAACAGTAAAGAAATTGAATGAGTTATAACAACTCTGGATGTGATTTAGACAAGGAATCAATAACTTCATGAATTAGTACGACGTTGTCCCTTGCCTATACCAAGTTTTTGTTAAACTAATTCCATTCCAGTTAACATTATGTTATCAAGGTAGGCACTAAGCTTTACAATTACCCCACATCATATTGAAATTCATATAGATATGAGCACATCTGGTCCGTTACGTCATTAATCACATTCATTACTTGCAGTGAACAAAATTGGACGATTAAAGTAAATTGTAAATCATGCTCGTAAGTTTATTTTATTTATTTAAACACATAAACATTGGTACAAGGAAGCACCAAATACATATGCGCCACATAAATCATTTGATTTATGTAAGGGCTGGGATACGGCCCAGTTACCCAAACCGAAGCAGGTGGTTTTCTTAGGAAGCCACACTCCGAGCCTTTGGCCTAAAGGTCTAATCCACAAGGTAGTAGACCACCCTTAGGAGATGCGGTCCCATGGTAACCAGAGACTAACAACAGGTACATACGCCATTTGTTCCTTTAAGGTACTGGAGGCCATGTACACCATTGATTTGCAATCAGGGTTTTCCAACTTCCCTAGGTGGACTTTCCGTGTCCACCAACCCGTTTACAGCGCCACACATTCTGTTTTCGTCCTCTCGATTTCGTAAACAACACCCCCACCACGAGTAGCTAGTGAGTAGGACTTCCCTGGCAGTGGCTGTATACGCGTACCTATGTGAGAGCACATCGAGAGGGAGAGCTGACTCTCCCCATTCTCGGCCATACCAGGGCATTCGGGGGCTGCTCATAAGTAAATTAAACACATATAAATACCGAAGTATATTGTTAAAAAAAGTGTTAAATATGAAATAACTGGAAAGTTATGAAATATACACGAAACACTTAAACAAAACATAATACCAAATAATAACTTCACTAATTCTTACCTGAAGATGGACCACATTTTGGTGCTATTCTTAATAATTCCGGTTTATTTTTTAAATGTTCATCTGGATCTTTCATACTAATATCAATATTTGAAGCAATTGATCCACTTCTTTTACTTGGATGCATTGAATTTCGGCGTTTTAATTGATTTGTAGCAAATGCTGATGAGGATGATAATGAATTAGCTAATTTTTTCAGTAGAAAAAAAAAGAGTAAAATGATATGATGTTTAGGTGAGAATAATAATGATTGGTTGGTTGCTTAGTCAGACATGTAAATAGTCTGAGTTATATATTCCCCTGTCCTCATTACTTATTATTGACTGATTGTTCATTGTTGTTGGATTGTATTGGGTTTTTGGTGTGGAAATATATTTACATTCTAGTCAGGTTAATTACCTTTTCTTGATCATTTGAGTTCTATTAAAGTCCTATAGAATAGACACTGGGAAGGGAATCTAGTGTAGATATTCGTCTAAGGCAAATTAACGTCCCATACTCGTAGACGAAGTAAAAGGAACCAAAATAGTATGATAAATTAATGGATTTAAAATTACTACCTGTTAATTCACTATAAGCTCCAAGTACACTTCCATCCTTTTCTTCAATGACTCCATCTTCTTCATTTAAATTCTGTTGATAATAATCTTTAATTAAATAATAATAATAGTAATAAAAATAAATATGATATTAATTAATCTACATATGTAATAACTGTTTATGTATTACTGTAAATGTTACGGAAAGAGTGCTTTTCAATGATTTGATAGACTAGATTTATGATATAACAGATGAATGTCAATATTTCCTTTGATCCCACGATATATATTCAAACATTCAGTCACAACGTATGTACATCGGTTCCGATTGCCACACCCGTTAGCACACCAAATCACAGAATGGTAGACAACTAACAGTATCAGTGGTATTAGAAAACATCAGGCATCGAATTCACGACTTGAAAATAGTGTATAAATTAGTGAAATAAAAACAGAAAAAATTATAAGGAATTTACAATCTCAGGACTTACGAGAAGATGCACCTGCTCTATTCCAAACGACTTTTAGCCATTTCATTCAAAGTCTCTAACCACTAGTCACAATAATCAACCAAGTAGTCTACACTTATTAACAGAGTCAAGTCCGATTGTCAGTGACTTCATGGATTGATGTCATGTATTGGTTTGGCCACCCCAGGATTTCTTACATAATACCACTGGACTAGAAAACATCGGCCCGTCGAGGTAGACGGTGGTTGGGCATACGTAGCACGTGTCTTAACTACCTCAGTTGAAGAAGATTTACCACCTCACCAGGTGGTTTCCCGTCATTACCTAATAATCTATTTTTAACCCAGGCATTGTTTACCCTGTGGTCCAATAATACACGAGCGATGCTTCGTAGACAGTTATGATCGAGTACTAGAAGCTTACGAATATCCTCTACTCTTGATGTTACACATCTATAAAGTAGGACGAAGCAAACTGCTCTCAATCGACCAGCAGCGTTTGAGTAGAGAGCTTGTACAAGATTAATGTACTTCTTTGGTACGCCTTTCAATGACAGACATTACCACAGAACCTCATGATCGACGAAGTAAAACGCCACCTTTAGGTCAAGAAATAAGACTATGGTAAGACGTTGAAAAGTATGTCTGTATTTCAGAATCTGCTGAAGGGTGAATATTTGGTCTATACATCCACGTTCACGTCTGAAAACGGCTTGGTTTCATCAGGTTTGCTCTTTACGAGCTCTAGTTAAATTTCGAAGTATTATCGAGGCTTGGATATATTTCTACCACTCGATAATAGGGCCGTGGATCTAGATTCCGTTACCACGAGGCTGGATACTCGAACAACAGACTATACACAGGCTGGATCACGTCATATCGGATAGGAATGGGCAATGCTTTACTCAACACTACTGTATGCAGTCTTCACTAAGTAAAATCAGAGAAGTTTTGTGGCCTTGGTAGATGATTTTATTGGAGTTTTATTCTCTGAGTGGGATGGTTTGGTCGTGGAGCTTTCATCGTTATTCTGAACGGCATCAGTAGCACAAACTTCAGACAGAAGTCAAATCGATCAACTGATCAGAAAAATTACGGACAAATATAGGACCAAAGATCAAATCAATAGGAGATACAAACAAAATAAAGAAGTAAAAAACAACAGGTTAAAGGTCAACAAGAACCAATCAACATCGAGGTTTACAGAGCAAGCTGTGAGCCGTATGTGGAGAAATTCGAACACTTCACTTCTACCTGAAGTTTGTGCTGATGATGTCGTTCAGAAGAACGATGAAATCACCATGAACGAATCATCCAGCTCAGATAACAAAACTCCATCAAAATAAGTCCAGATAAGAAATCAATAATAGGAAAGAAAGTCAAACATTTAGTCGTCAGTAATCTGAGTGTCTGTTTGTCCATACCTAGCGGCCGATCACATTTACTTCAACTAGCTACACATCAGTCTAATTGTTAAGATGGATGAACAGAGTGTCCGCCGATAGATGAATACAGTGATATGATTAGTGCCTAGTTGATGACTGCTCATGTGACCGAATTAAAAATGTGAGCCAATGAGGGATTCGAAATTAAAAATAAGTTCACTAGATTATTCTGGCGTGTACTTAGTAGATTTAGCTGCATATTATATAACCACGACTGGAAGTTCTGGACTCCATATAGAAGAATTTCCAGTGTATTCAACGCTGTCACTCGACCTTATTATATCACTGCCTAGAAAAATTGTAATATTGTGTGAACTAAGATTTCCATCTGTGATGCAATTTTAGGACGTGTATTTGATTTTGCACGAATGATTTGTTGGTGGTGTTCACATATGAACTCATGAAGAAGTATTTTGATAAATTTAAATTGTCGTTGCACCAACCGAGCCATAATGATTTCTAAGCATCCATAGTAACTGACATTATAACAATCAATTTTTTCTATCTTCGTCATCGCTATGATGGTGTATACTTTATGATTTCGAGTGAATTTTTGGTTGCGAAAACCAACGGTCACAATATTGACTAACATATGATATACAGTGGTAGGATGTGTGCAGATGATGGCTGTCCGCGCGACCAGATTAATGATTTAAGCCTCCAAATACGTCGAAATCAAGGACAAAACAACTAACAAGAAGAATAGGTATGTTACATAACAAAAATACATGCTTCTATATACAATATCAATGCGAAATAAGGACTGTGAATCGTTACATGTGATTGGAGGGAATCAGTTAGTAGTTCGCTTGCTCTCTAATCAACTAACGCCTGACCGTTAGGTTTGATTTTGGGGAATCGTTTTAATCAAATCTGTTTAAGATATGGAACACGGTAGTAGAAGAATAAAAGTAGAGATCAACTTATGCAGGCAATTGTTTCTTGTGAATTAAGGTAGATGTATTATATACTCAAATTCGAACCAATCAATGGGTCCACAAGTTCTTTCCTTAACTATTTTACTTAGTACCGTTTCAATATGTCGGCCAAGTGTTAGGTCAACTTTTCGTTTCAGTGGCATGGCGGGTTACTAACTTAATTATGTCTGTTACCTCTCGAGGAGGAGCATAGACTACCAACCAGAATTCCTCAACTAACTCAGTTCTCTGCCTTTCGAGTTTTTTCCTGTTGTTGTTTATTCTTTTGATGTCTGCTTCCGGTTCCCGAAACAGTGTTCATTTGTCTTCCACTTTTCCATTTCCCTTCAGGATTCCGAGTTAAAGCTTGCTTCGTGATGAAGTTTTATTATTTTCTTAATGTATGTCCTATCCACTTTCACCGCCTTTTCCTAATTGTCTCCCCAGCTGGAAGCTGGTCTGTTCTTTCCCATAATAGGCTGTTGCTGATGATAACCTGTCAACGGACATTGAGTATCTTGCGTAGACAACTGTTTATAAATACTTGTACCTTCTTGATGATGGTTGTAGAAGTTCTCCATATTTCAGCTTCATACTGTAGAACTATCTTGACGTTCATATTAAGGATTCCGACGTTGATATTGGTTAACACTTGTTTTGAGTTCCATATGTTCTTCGTTTGTAGGGATACTTCACACATTTTTTAATCAGTGCCTTCACATCTGCATCAGATCCTCCTTCTCTATCGATGAGGCTAACCAGGTACGTGAAAATGTTCACTTGCTGCAGAGGTTGCTGATGCGCTGGATGTCTTATTAGATAGTGAATGACCTAGAACAAATCTTACAAACGTGTGTTTCAAACGACTTTTAGTTATTTTTGGTTGTTTCGTTTGCATACATAAGTATATAAGTAAATATGTGAGTCGTTTCACTTGAAACGTTGATTGACAGCTACTTGTCTTCTGATACCAGTTTATTTGACAGATCTTATGAATAAATCGATCTCATGAACGTTTATTAGTTAACCACATTCTGCTATTTTGCATCATCTATCGATCAGCACACATATTCTAGCAACATTAAAATAAACTGCCAGACAAGTTAGTCAAAGCAATGAGAACTACATAAACAGTACAACTGATTTTATCAATTTTTTAGATTAATTAATAAAATTAACCTGGTTTAAAAATATTTACAGATATATTTAAAACAAGATAAAAAGAGGCTGCATACCAAATGGATTGTAACCATTATTCATCGGCTTTGTATTCAACACTGAGTTCGAAGGTGAACGTGACTGTCGAATTGGAGCAGGCACATGTAATGCATGATTGGCTACTTTCTTATACCACCGTTTCTTTTTCTTGTGCTCATCATTATTTGACGATAAACTTATAACACTTCCACTATAATTTAATGAGTTTGGTGTTGAACCTTTGTCTTTATGAAGATGTAAGCTAAAAATAAAGAAGCATTAGTAACAATAATAATTTAAAACCCATTAGAGCCCGTTTATTACCATTTTTTCAAAACTTGCTCGACAGCGAAATATAGAAACTGCATTGACTTTTCATACGACATAAGAATTAGACAATTTCAAGAGCTAACGGTTAATTTAATGTAGATAGTCAGTAGTGGTTAATGTAAAGTCGAGCACCAGTATATGTCACCCCAAGTCAACATATCAGAATCAAAACGAGGTGATAAAACTGAAAAGATGAATTGAAAGGAAGTCAAAATAATTTTAATAGTAGCCACAGTCGGAAAGAATAAGTATTGGAAACATGGTTTGAGAAAGAATTTGATGTTTATGGAGGAATGCTATAACTTTGGAACTAAAAGAGGATGAAGACTGAGTACATTTGCAATTGTGGTAGATTATTAGCTATATTACTCAGAAGTGCTAATCACTGGTCGCGGTTATGGCGTGGATCCTAACCACGTAACATGTACTTAGTATTACGAGTCATTCCAATGCTCATAGATTTCGTAGATTTCATACCAGAGATTCTTCTTGTAAATTCATGGCTTGTGCTAAAGAACATCTAAGCTACACAAAATGTTCTCCAAACAGTCCTGTGGAACTAGAAAACTCGCAAACCCTACTGTTCTTAATAGAAAAGGCCTCACAATTCGCCCAACATGAACTGTTCATTGCTGCACAATCGTGTTGCAACTAACATTTTTCCGGCTTTGTATGACAAATAATTATCTGTTTCTTCAAGAGAAATATACTTATATTTTCTAAAGAGTAAGTGTTTAGTCTATTTAAATTAAGACAATGAAAAAGCGAAAAGTATCAGCTATTTTTATCTCAAAAATAGGAGTGTCGAATGAAGTTAAAACCCCATCGCACTATGAGGTTTGACAATAGGAACCAAATAAACCACAATTCACGAAGCACGATTATCACATAAAATTCAATTCCATTAGCGAATGGGAGCTCACCTCGACAAGCTTAAGATCGACCCCATGGTGCTCCTGCTTTTAGATTCCTCGCTACGGTACTCTTCCACCCAAATCCAGAAATAAAGTCTTCCAAAGCCAATCTCCGTCTTTTTAGTTTGTTCCATCTCCATGATGCATAGTCGGGAATTATCCGTAAGACTAACAGAAGGATCTGTCGGTTTTGGCGGGATTGTAACTCCGGGTACAACTACCTGACCGACATGATTATCTTCAGAATCGGAAACTAAGAGGACAACTGGATCACCCCTAGTTGCAATTTTACTACACAGTGTATTAAAAATTTAGAGGCTTACAATGTAGTTTCAAAGTTCCAAACAGGATTACCATCCGGTGCAAAGATACACTCTGTACTAATTTTCTTTTTTCCACCTAGAACAACGCATTTCCATTTCTGGCTAACTTTTTCTGTCACAAAAATTACTTCAAGTTATGTAGTCAATCTACTTTGTTTATGATCAGAACGTGGTGCGACACGTAGATTCTCAGCCTTGTACACTGATAAAATTTTGTCGAAAAGCTCAGCAAACTAACCTCTGACAGTGACTTCTTTAGGATGTCGGATGTTTGAAGCTAACATGTCATCAGGAAAATATTTTGAAAGTTCTCCAGACTTATTGCTACGACGAAGGCAAAAAGAGGAGGTTCTAAACAAATAGTGAGAAAACAATTAGATAAAGTTAACGTTTCTTTCTCTTGTTCAAAGTCTAATTTACCATGTTTAAAGGAAAAAGTAAGTGGTGGGTTCGCTTCATAAAGTAGTCTATACAAGCACAGACCTCATACATTCAGATTCAGATTCAGATTCAGATTTGTGTAGTAAGGACAGAAGGCCTACGGCCTATGTTATTCCTTTTCTAGTATGCTTCTGTGAGTGTCCAGTCTTCTCTTGAAAGAGTCAATTGAAGGTGCGGATACCACTGCTTCAGGCAGCAGGTTCCAAGTATTGATGACTCGGTGTGAAAACCTGTATGCCAGAGGTATTTTGTTCGTTCTTGGCTTTTCTACTCGCCTACTATGTCCTCTGAGGTGTCCCGATCTAGTGGGAAGAAAGAGAGAGAATAAGTTAGGTCCGAAATCATTTCTCAGTATTCTGTACATCAATATTAGATCTCCCCTTAGTCTGCGATAGGACAGAGTAAAGAGGTTCAGTTTTTCAAGCCGCTCTTCATATGATAAACCCCGGAGTTCCGGAATCGCACGCGTAGCTGCCCTCTGTACCTTTTCTAGTATGTCTGAGTCACCTTTTAAACAGGGGCTTGCAGCCTGAACACAGTTCTCTAACTTAGTTCTCACTAAGGATGTGTATAATGTGGTGAACATGGTAGTATCAAGCTTAGTGAATGTCCTTTTTAAAGCCCAGAGGGTTCGAAACCCCTTAACTGCGACCTCCCGGCAATGGGCCGTCGTCTTAAGATCATTGCTCACTGTCACCCCTAGGTCCTTATGAGACCGGACTACGGGTAATGACACATCTCCTATGTTGTACGTATTAACCTTTGAATCCCCCAAGTGCATGTAGACACACTTTTCCGAGTTGATAGGCATTAGCCACTCTTTAGACCAGTTTATCATATTATTTAAGTCCGCCTGAAGAGTAAATGTGTCTGTGTCTCTAGTTATTACTCGCCAAATTTTTACATCGTCAGCGTATAATAACATTGGAGACTGTACTATACTTGTAAGATCATTAACGTACATTATAAAAAGTAAAGGACCTAGGACGGAACCTTGGGGTACTCCACTAAGTACTGGTCTCCAGATGGAGCACTTGGAATTTATTCTTACTTTTTGCCTACGACCTACCAGGAAATCCTTAATCCATTTTAAAAGAGGTCCGGCAATACCAAGGTTTGCCAACTTCAATAGCAGTCTATTAGTTGGCACCTTGTCAAAAGCCTTACTGAAGTCTATGTAGACAACATCCACTGAGTTTCCGTTGTCTAGCGCATTAATCCAGAGCTCCCTAGCTATAAGGAGGTTCGTTGTACAGGATAGACCCTTTCTAAAACCATGTTGTGCCATGTTCAGCAAGTTATTGGTTTCCATAAATGCTGTTATGGTCCGTTTGATTATCCTTTCCAGTATTTTAATAACAACACTGGTGAGGCTTACGGGTCTGTAATTTGATGGAACTTGTCGTAGACCAGTTTTATGTATGGGAGTGACGATTGCGTCCTTCCAGTCCATAGGTAACACACCTTGGTCAAGTGACATTTTGAATATCACAGTCAGTGGGGCTGCGATATATTCGGCAATATGTCTCAAGATTTTAGGGTGTAGTTCATCTGGTCCTGTTGACTTCTCCATATTTAGGGTGCTAAGAGCCTTGAGCACATCTTCTTGGTCGAAGTCCACGGTGAGCAGCTGGTTTGTTGACTCTGTATTTGGGTCTGATTCTTTCTCTAGAGGAGGTTCCTGAGTGAAAACTGCCCCAAAATATTCAGCCATGGCCTCTGCTTTTTCCTGGTCTTCCTCTATAATTTCAGATTCACTTCTTACTTTAATTAGGTTGGGAATCCAATCATGCATCCTCGTTCTGTAGTTTATGTACGAGAATATCCTCTTGGGCTGCTTGAGTGCAGATTCTGCCAGCTGCATTTCATATTTTCTTTGCGCTTCCCGAATTTTAGTTATACACTCGTTTCTTATCGATCTGTAGCGTTCCATCGTACCTGCTGTGCCAAGGCGGATGGCAACATCCCAGTATTTCTTCTTTTGTCCTAGTAGGCGTCAAATATCCCGCCCTATCCAGGGATGTCCGTGCTTCTTTTTCTTTGGGACAGTCCAGGGTATGTATGGTTGAGTTACCCGATTGTATAACTGCCTGAACAGAGTTCATGCCTCTTGTACTGATGCCTTTGAGTCAATTTCCCAGTTCTCAGCCGATGCTGCGGAGTTAATTGCCTGCATATCCGCTTTCCATATGTTAGGACGGGCCGGCGCTATTGTTTGACAAGCAATCTCAGCCATGAATTGGAATAAGATGACTGCATGGTCACTTCTCCCAAGTGGTGGGAGAAAAGCCGTTTGGCTGACGTCATCACCGTGTTTGAAGACTAAATCTAAAAGAGAGGAAGAGTTTCTTAAGTCGTATCTTGTGGGATCTCTAATGTGTTGGGATAATGCTAGTCCAATCGAGGTTTCTAACAGTTTGGAGTCGAACGACGATATGGATGACCCTACTTCTAAGTTAACCCAGTTTATATATGGTGCATAAAAGTCGCCTACTACAAGGCTTTTACCGTTGTTACACCAGGACTTAAGTTTACTAAGGAGAAAATCATCTGCTACACATTCAGGACTGCGATAAACTACAACTACTTCAATATCTTGCCTTCGGCATTTCAACTTACATCTCACCAGTTCACATGTCCCTGAAACATGTGCTACTGTCTCAGCTAATCTTATGGTTAGGGTACTTTTCGTGTACACAATAACCCCGCCTCCCCTTCGGTTTAATCTATCAGCCCTACTGGTTATGAAACCAGTCAATTGGATTTCACTATCTAATACTTCTGACGTTAACCAAGTTTCCGAGACAGCGATAACGTCCAGTTTTTCTTTATCAACCACTGACTTCAGCTCCGCCATTTTATTTAGTAGGCTGCGAGCATTTGTGTAGCACACTTTTAAGTCTGTGGAGAGCTTTCCTTTGCCACCCAGAGTGGCTTGGGGATCGTTTTGCTCCGAAACCCTTAAGAACGAGGTTTCTTTCACCGTTTCGGCGACGCTCGTTTATTTCCGCTTCTGCAGCTCTTCTCTTAATACGATCAGCTAGGCTGAGGTCTTCACGGACATATATTCCGGATCAAATCAGTTTACGTGAATTACTTAGAACCAGGTTCCTTTCTTCCACCGTGTTGAATGTAACCTTTAGGAGGCGGTTTTTCTGAGGACTTTCGGAATCCGCCTTTTTTCCTATTCTAACTCCTGAAACTGTATCTGGGAGTAGTTTACTTAATGATGTCTTAATATGATTGAGATCATGTTCAAATCTTGCCTTTGGTTCAGTATCTGAAGATTCTCTTATCTTATGAAAAATGACTGATCTATCAGAGAGATCTGTCTTGTCACGCGGTGAGGATTTTTCTCCTGATAACATCCCTTCCAATGTCTTGCTGACCATCTGCGTTTTGCCTACAGCCGTTTTCTTCTTATTTTTTTTCTTACCGAAGTCTATTATAGTGTAATACTAATTATTTTTAGTAACTGATGCGATAAAGTATTTAAAATGTTGTTTATACGAGAAAATTCAGGGAATTATCAGTTCTAAAAATAGAGCAAAGAGAGGATGCAGACGATATAGGCTGCAAACATGTCATAGTGACAGACAATCTCATTGTACTTACTCAGAATTCATAGTGCTATCAAGGCTGGCCCTAAATACATCACTGCTCAAGTTGCCTTGACCACAATCGATTGAATCCCAGGAGAATACACAGTTTTTTATCGTCCTCTCTTTATCATGGATTTAACCTGGCATTCCTCCCAGTTTTCAGACGTCATGTGTTTGACAAAGCCTAATACAACCTAATGCACTACACCGCAGCGATCGTTATCCCGTTTTCAATACAAAGACAAAGGAGACACGTTTTAATAGAACTATGAGTGTTCTCAGCATGTCCAAAACATCTCTGTACTAAATATAGGTTTCTCTGTTTTTCGTTATTTGAAAAGTCGATGTCGCGTTTAAGTTATTGTTGTATTCAAAGGAATCTAATTGAAATTTCATACATAATTATGTATTTTTGCTTGAATAAGACGTTTAGACATGGTAAACACTTTGACGTCGATTGACACAGAATTTGCTTTCCGCCACTCTGCAAAACCTGTACACGCTTGTGGAATTCTTTTCTCGGCTCCACCGACATTATCCTTTGTATTTAGGTTGACTGGAAACAAGGGAGACAAGTTATAATTGCGGACATTGAGATGGCTTTAAATATAACAAAGTAGATAACTAGATGAAAATATCCGGTTGGTCACTTTGAAGAGTCTCTAAATTCATACTACCTGGAGTGGATTGTTGTGGGATAAGACCTTCTTAAAAATAAATAAATCCTCCGATTTCTTGTGTATACGAGCCAGGGAGTCTCGATCAGATACTACGACGATATTATAATATATCCTTTAACAGGACTCTACTAAAGAGAGTTTTTTTCAATTCTTATACCCTACTATTTATGCTAGTGTATAATTATGCTATTCTCTGAACTGTTGTCGTCCTCTCTGCTTGACTATGGTATGTGTAGATCAGTAATATATAGCTCTGTTGTCTTGAGCTGTTTAGACGGAACACAAAGAAAACCAGAGCATTTTTGGACGCTTGGTAATATGGTCAAACATCAGTCAATAAGCAATATGAAATCGACCAAGTCTGTTATTCAACAGGAAAGAGGATTAACAACTTTATGGCCAGAATTCAGGTAATATAATATAATTTATTTCTGCAAAGGCAGGTACACGTCATTTCTACAGGCGTGCACTACAAATTACAACATTTATCGTTTCACAGTATGCAAGTTAAATAAATATAATCTATAAAAGTGAATATCAGTTCATTCCTCCAGAGATACTGAGTAATCTTCAAAACATTCTCCAAAGTGGCGTCGCGTCCACATTATATATCGGATCCACTCTTGGCATAGTTGTGTTAGGATTTTAGTCGTGCTAAGTATTTATGCAATGCAACTTTTAAAGTTCATAGTTGTTATAAAGTAGACGTGTTGAGAGCTTGGTGTGAACTGTGACCTTGGAAATACACGTAAGTCTAGTTTGTTCTACATGTCAGAAGTTCCATATCTCTGCCTCCAGAGCAAGATTCTGAAAAAAAGAGAAACTGAGGAGCAACAGAGCACATGGATATGAACAACAAACAATAATTAACATTTTGTAGTCGAACAGACAGAGGTATGATAAATTATTAGAATAAATTCATAGCTAGAGTGAAGGGTGATCAGAGGCTCCCGATGACAGAATGTAGTAATAAAAAACAATGCGTTGTGATATCTACCAAGGTGCAGTAAGTTCAAATGAAGGGATGGAAGCCAGGGTTGAGATCAGAAAGGTTATTTATTAGAATAGAGAGTGCGTATAGAGAGTAGTGTTAAGTAAATCAATAACCATATCTTTTATTGTCTGACTTCCTTCTTCTTCTCATCCGATGCCTGCCATACAGTCTTAATGTAAGAGTCCGAGTTAGCACGTTATAGGTTGTCCTAGTAGAATAGCTAATCCAGCGTAAAATTGGAAACATGAGTCTGAGTGGTGAGCGTAGGAAGACAATCTATAATACAGATTGATTGACTTGTTCTCAGTCATAAAGAGCCTGATTCATACAAAATGTTCTGCCCCACATACACTGGTGAATGGAAGTCATCACCCTCACCATCAATGCTCGCTGGTCAGTAACTCCACCCTCCCTCCTTCTGTGATGTTAGGCTTATTTAAGCTTATTTCTGAGATATATATCATACCTCACACAATCCTCTGTGGTTCACATCCTGTTGGAAAACACTTTTTCTATAAATACCACTTCACGAGCTTACCAGGCAGTTACGAATTATGGACAGTGGGTAAGGTATCGATGCTATGCTTTATTTGACCATAGTATAAAGCATAGGTTGCCAATCCCAATATAGGCTATAAGAGGGGTTATATTGTAGGATAGCTATTATTATTATTATTATTATTATTATTATTATTATTATTATTATTCACAAACATCTTATGGGTACATATGTGTTGTGAAGAAACCATTTCGGGTTTCTTCAAAAAATTCAATAATACACAATTTTCAATAATGTTAGCATTATATTCGCCATATTATAAAGAAAAGTAATAATAATAGAATAATAATAATAAATCAGGTCCGTGTAATTGAGAAGAATATTTAATTGAGTTTAAAGAAGGAAATGGAGAAAATTAGGGAATAGGTGGAAAACTATAGAAATATATAAGTTGTAGATAAGATAACGCGTGGAGAAATAATAATAATTGCAAGTCAACATAGTGTACTGGAGAGTAAAACGCCGATAAAAAATAGACAAGAAGGAACTCACATTAACTTGGCGTTGATGTTATTTTGTTCTATTTATTTAGGTACATGGAATACTCGTACAATTTGGGAGACCGGGACAGCCTTCCACATTGCTGCAGTAAGGTGTGAGTGGATAAACAACTGGCAAAAGAAGCTGAAAGTATGGGATCATGTGTACTTATAAAATATGGTACTGAAAACAGTATTCTGATGCCCAAATGGTTATCTCCCGTATTGTCGAAGCTATTTGAGCCCATTTTTGTAGGTTTCATAAGGTCTTGAGGAGACTTCGTTTTTAGCGAATTGTCTAATTTTGATTGCAATAGGATTACTCGGTAGGAAAATAAACCAACTCAACGCACAAACACGATTTGAAGAGGTATTTTCATAATAAACCAACATCAATACCATTGGTTCGTGACATCCCACGTGACCGTAGGGAGCCGTAATTTGACAAAATGTTCTGCCTTACAGACATGAAATGATCGAAGTTGTCTCTCTACCATCATGTTCGCTGCTTAGAAATGCCGTCCACCTTTCTTTTGCTTGTTTTGATCTCACTGCAAAAGGGTTAGGACAATCATTTACTTATTCAATGGAGAGCCATGATATCAGTTGAGGGAATTGAATTCAAGTCGTTTAAAGAGCGCCTCCAATCGCTGAATTTCTACCCTTTTGAATACAGGAAACTTAGAGGTGATCTTCTACTGACTTGCTGCATCCTAGACAGTTCTCTCGAACATCTACTAAATGTTATTACAACACCAGGACCTGGAGGCATGACTGCAGAACGGGCTGTAGGCATACGTTTTACTCCTTAAGTGTCGTGAAATTCAACAATTTGCTGCTACCTGCGATAGCACAAGAGGCTTTTCAGGAGTCCTTTGGGCGAAAACGTGACATATCCTTAGAGAATAAGAACAGTGTCTCGCTATAATGCAGTAATTTTTCTCTCTTATCTCTAAATATACCTAGCTTCTTACCTAGACGCATCGGAAACTCATTACAATTAGATACGAAAGCTCGTTAAGCAGAAGCTTCTTCTATTCTGTCCAAACCATTTTGACCATTCGGACATTTGTCTTCAGACAGCTATGCTATCAAGTAACTCGACCATGTATACACTGGACAGTTCCAAAGAAGAAGAAGCACGGAAAACTCTGGATAGTCCGGGAATTTCGATGTTTATTAAGGCAAAAGAATAGATGTTAGGACATTGTCATCAGCCTTGGCACAGCAAGCACGGTGGAACCCTACAAGCCTGTAGGAAACAAGTGTATAATTAAAATCCAAGGAGGTCAGATAAAATATGAAATGCAGTTGACCCAATCGGTAATCAGACAGACTAAGAGACTATTATCGTACATAAATTACAAAACAAGGGTGCAGAGTTGAATTTCCAACCTAATTAAGGGAGTAGATCCCAAATGATAGAGGATAATCAGGAAAAAGTTGAGGCTATGGCAGACTATTACGGGACAGTTTTTACTCAGGAGCCTCTTCTAGACAATGAACTAAACCTAAATACTAAGTGAACAAACCGACTGCTCACCGTGGACTTTGATCGAGACGATGTATTTATGGCTCTTAGCACATTGTACATGGGAAAGTCAACAAGGCCGGATGAACTGCACTCCGAAACCCTGAGAAAAATTGCATAATATACTGCAACCCCACTAACTGATATCCAATATGTTACTTGACCAAGGTGAAATCATTACTCCCATACATAAAACAGGACCAAGACAACTTCTATCGAACTACAGACCTGTCAACCTCACCAATGTCTTGGTTAACATACTGTAAAAATAGTCAAAAAGACCATAATGACGTTTGTGAGAACCAACAACTTGTCAAACAGAGAACAACATGGTTTCAAAAAGGGTTTATCTTACACAGCAAACCTCCTTATAGCAACGGATCAAGGGTTAAAGGCTCTAGACAACAAAAACTCAGTGGATGTCGTCTACATAGACTTCAGTAAGGCACTTGACAATGTGGCAACAAATAGACTGCTATTGAAGCTAGAAAATTTTAGCATTGATGGACCTCTCTTAAAATAGATTAAGGATTTTTTAGTAGGTTGTAGACAGGAAGTAATAGTAAATTCGAGTTAATTCACTTGGACACCAGTGCTTAGTGGAGTAACTCAAGGTTCTGTCCTAAATCCTTTACTTTTTATACTGCACGTAAATGAACTCCAAAGTATAGTACTGTCTTCAATGTTATTGTACTCTGACGATGTAAAAGTCTGGCGAGTAATAACTGGAGACGCAGACGCATGCGTTCTTCAGGCAGACTTAAATAAATTGGTTAACTTGTCTTAAGAGTGGCTGATGCTTACCAACACGGTAAAGTGTGTCTGCATGCACTTTGGGGAAACAAAGGTTGATAGATACCGTATAGGTGAAATGTCATTGCTGGGAGGTTTCAGCTAACTGGTTTAGGACCCTCTGGGCTTTAAGACGAACATTTACTGAGTTACATACTATCATGATCACTACAATATACACAACCTTAGTGAAAACTAAGCTTGAAAAGTGAGTTCAGGCTACGAGCCCCCGTTTAAAAGGTTACTCACTTATCCTGAAAAACGTACAGAGAGCAGCTTCTCATGCAATTCCAGAACTCCGGACGGCTTGAAAAGCTTTATGAGGTGATCTGATTTTGATGCATGGAATAATAAGAAATGATTTTGAACGTAATATGTACTCTCTTTCCCATTTCGCTAGATCGGTACATATTAGAGGACATAAAAGGCGAGCGTAAAAGCCAAGAACGAACAAAATACCCTTGGCTTACAGGTTCTCACACCGAGTCATAAATTCTTGAAACCTGTTACACGAAGCAGTGGTTCCCGCACCTACGATTGACTCATTTAAGAGAAAACCAGACACCTGCAAAAGAACAGTAGAGAAGGAATAAAATAGACTGTACGTCTTCTATCCTTACCACACAAACCTGAATCTAAAAATGTTGGCGTTTGAATGCGTTTAGTGAAGCTAAATTACCTAAACTTTGTGTTTGCTTTACCCGCGCTCTATGTCTTTCGCGTTTTCTTGTTTTCATGAGCGCTTTCCGATACTTCTCTGTCATTGATACGGAACATGTAATTTTTGCATAATATGACCATACGAAATTTAGTGGACATTCGTGATATGTCAACTTTTCACGCTACTATCAGGCTGTGTCATGCAGAAATGCATACCACCATGTACAGAAAATTCCAAGCGCCGTCACCTTTTTGAGTTTGTCAGCGGATTTTTGATGATGTATCTTGTTTATGGACCGTAATTTCCTTTGAATAATTTAATCTTTTTAGTCTAGTTGTTCATATGCTTGCTCAAGCCATACCGGCATACTTGATGATGGTTTTTCTTCCATCATCTGTTGCTCAGTATGGCATTTTAGTTTTCTCAATGGCATATTTATCTTCAGTACATATTCACAGGTGTATGTATAACCCTCGACTTGATATCTCTGCGTATGTCGCTACTTTCGATAGATTGTTTCCAGGGCTCTGATGGTGCAAACTCAAAAGCTGTCTTCTTTGGCTTTTAACATCAATGATGGAGTAAAGTTGTCAAAGAAAGGAGTAGCTGACCAAGAATACCACAAGCTTCATGCCGTCGAGTGAGTCTTGTCAAATTGGTTTTAATCCAGGTTGCAAATGAAATGTCTGTCGTATATTTTTTGGTATGCATCTTGGATTACTCACTGAGAAAGTCATCTGATATCTTAGTCCTTCGGTCTACTAGGTAGAAAAAAGTTCGAATGTCAGCATATTTTCCATCATGAGACTTTAGTAACGATTCCACATCAAGTTGTGTATTCTTGTGGATATCTTTCTAGACACGTATAGTTTGTTTCTATTTATTTATTTTAACACATAGATATTGATAAGAGGAGGCGCCAAATACATATGCGCCACACAAATCTCATTCGATATATGTGAGGGCTGTGATACTGTCAGGGTGCCTAAACCGAAGCAGGTGGTTTTCTTAGGGGGCCACACCCGGAGCCTTCGACCTGAAGGTCTAGTCTACAAGGCAGTGGAGCAACGTAATGCGATCCAGTCCCATGGTAGCCGGTGACGAACAGTTGGTTCATACGCCATTTGTTCCCTCAGGATCCTGGGGCCAATGTGCTTCAATGGTCTGGAATCAGGGTTTTCCAACTCCCCTGTACAGATCCTCTATGTCCACCGACCCGGTTAAAGCACCGAACATTCACTTTTCATCCTCTCAATTTCGTAAACAACACCCACGCCACGAAAAGGCAGTGAGTAAGACTTCCCTGTCAGAGGTATATACGCGTGGCCATGTGAGAGCATTTCGAGAGGGTAGACGGACTTTCCTCACTCTCGGCCGTACCAGGGCATTTGGGGGCCCTAACTTATCATTTTGTTACTCCTAACTTATAGACTGAATATATGTTGCCCATGATTTGACTGTAAAGTTTGGAGACATGATAAAACCTACGAAAATCCATATTCAGGAATTTAGGCCCATCCAGTGTCTTTAGTATCTCATTTAGCATGGAACATGCAATTTTTTCTTCTTGGTTCCACGCATGAATAAAGATTGACTATCAAAATACGCATCTTATGGTTCAGTGTACTAATCAATACATTCGCTTTGTATACCGTTACTATTCGCTTCGCACGGTGTACGATACAAAGCATAAATAACTCACTTCGTACATTCTTGTACTCTTACACGGCCACGCGTATACAGCCTCTGCCAGGGAAATCCTACTCACTGCCTTCTCGTGGCGGGGGTATTGTTTACGAAAATGAGAGGACGAAAAGCGAATGTCCGGCGCTTTAACCGGATCACAAACCGATGGTGCACATGGGCTCCAGTATCCTGCGGGAACAAATGGCATATGAACCAATCGTTGGTCACCGGCTACCATGGGACTGCATCTCCTTACGATGCTCCACTGCCTTGTGGATCAGACCTTCAGGTCGAAGGCTCCGGGTGTGGCCCCCTAAGAAAACCACCTGCTTCGGTTTAGGCACCCTGACAGTATCACAGCCCTCACATATATCGAATGAGATTTGTGTGGCGCATATGTATTTGGTGCCTCTTTGTACCATTATCTATGTGTTGGAATAAATAAATAAATAAAAACATTCTTGTACTGAGTCGTGAATTTTTATCGAGTGTTTGTCTTTCTAAACCGAAGTTTCACTGACATCGGAGTAGTTACAGTAAACATCCAAACACAGTCAATTTGCGAGAAACTTGTGTGTACTTTAATCTACCGCCTGACTGAACTTAATAGATATGTTTTTTGAAAGTATAAGTTATTACGTTCTAAAGTTTATGTAAATAGTATGTACGATCCTTATTATTCGGTTTTCGTGATACATTTCGGAAAATCAAGTCCAAATATAATCTGTAATGTCATTAATTTTTTTTAAAGAATTTAGCAAGGGTGAAATTATATATATATATATATATAGTCATCTTTGCCTTTTTAGTTTCCGTAGACTGTTGGAAACAACATAGATTTGGTACATTAGATTTTCTGTAATTAAGCGTACTACTATCCACAAGTATGGGATAGTACGTTAATTTTAATGCAATAATTACATGTTGATTCAGCTTGTAACCATGTACTAATGGTTTGTGATAAAAGTAATTGTTCAATTCTTCAGAATTCAATATTTTTGATTATTTTTTGCATATTTTCTTAAGACGTCGACCTCGTCTTCTCCAGTTCGGTGGATATCTATTCTCATTTCATAATGTAATGATTGGCCCCTTCAGCTTTTTTGCTGATTATATGAGATTTATTCAGGGTCAAGAATCAGATCAGCTTCTCGATGAAACTGATAAAAAGCGATTCGTAAGTTCTACAAAGCGTAGTCGCCTTTTCATTTATGTTCATTTAGTTTAGTAATTGGAAATCTAATTAGCCGAAATCGATATCCACCTTTTAAGTCTTTTAAAATTTGATACTCGTCGTAACAGTATGTTTTCAGCGCTTACAATAAAGGTAATTACTATACATGTGGGTAATTAGTTGTCAGTTAGTCAGTCAAATGAAATATATTCTCCACTAACCGTTAGTTACTATGTAATTTCTCTATGCCTTTTAGTCACATAATAATCCATAGAAAAATCAATACTAAGCATTGCCGTTAGAGAATAGATTTTTATACTACTGTCAATAATCAAAAGTTTCGGACGTAAATATTGATATCCCCGGAGTAATTAGTTCACAGTTTTAAGAAATAGCAGTTGTATGAACTCGAGTTCTGTCAAGGTCGTAAGTAGGATGGTTCTTCAATGATTTGCAAGGAAAATGAGAGTAAGTAGTAGAGGCCGTGTCCACCTGGGAGCGTGTTTGCAGTACCTAAGGGATGGCTACTTGAGGTCATTGGTCCACGACGTTTTGTAAGTGGTTTCTGATATACCAGATTCCGGAAAACCCCGAAAAGACTCGTATTTTCCAAACTGGAAATCCTGTGGAAAAAGCAGTGTGTTGTTTTAGTATCAATGCTTTATGTTTCCCCTCTTTTAAATTTTAGGAAGTTGACATTAACAGAATTCTCAGTTATTCTTGGGGAACATCTCACTACTTTCATTCCGCAGTTATAATGGTAGTATACTGTTGCACTCGTTCCTCAAAGTAGCTGCTTGCTATCCAATTAATTTGCTCGGGATAGTGATGTTTGAGAAAATAAACAGATTTTATTGTTTAGTTTGTTCGAGGTCCATGAGATCGAACCATAGGACAAGTGAGCAGTGGTATTGATATAATCCGAGTACTGGTTAGCTCTCTGAGGCTATCTAGTACCAATGACCTGCGGCTAACTAATGGCACGATAAATGTGAGATAAGAGCTAAGAGTAACACTAGACGACTTATTGATCCAGAATACAGTTTCCAACACTCCGATGGCCTGAATAGAATACAATTCGGCAAGTAAATAGCTTCTAATTGTGCAGTTCAAATTTATGAATCACTCACACTTATATAGAACAAAATCCCGAGCACATATCAACTAAATCAAGAAACTGAAATATTTTCACGAATGTCCACTAAATGGAAGAGAATTAAGTGATAAGTCCATAATAAATTAACAGTAACTTGCTGTATGTATGACACGCAATTATAGTTTGCGTGTCAAACAAAAGTTTGCAAGTACGGGAATACAAAAATATAAGTTTAAGTATTTAATACTCATCAGAAAAATTATAAACCATAACTTCATATAGGATCGTTTAAAAGGTTCAACTTTGCCTAATATTTATGCTAACGTAGCAGGCGGTCAAATATCAACGGATTAGCGTTCCAATCAATTTAGATCGATTAGATTATGTCAACAGTCATTGCTGACCACCTCAAGGTAGCAACTATGGTTTGAAGTTTGTCGTGTATATCACTAATTGATTATCCCTACAATCAGTCATTTCAGTAAGCTATAACATAGAAATAAAAAGTAAAATGTGTTCAAATGTTTATACAGTACATTGGATGTTTACTATTGAAATGATAACTATCATTAAACAAGTTAACAGACATAAAGTATGATCATGTGTGCAGTTACTAGTCTTCTATCGTATTTAAGTCATGTATAATCCGTAAAATATTTAATGTGTTGCCTAGAGATTCTCGAATTCTGTTTCTGCAAGATTTTTAGGGTTAAACTTGCTGACTATTAGTGTCCTAACGTTTTGTTGTGCTATTTTATTTGTAACACCTAATATATATTTCTAAATTTAGGAGGATAACAAGGAGGCGATACGTTCCGCTAAAGTAAGTATGCGCAAAATGTTCCAGCTATTACTGTTTCATTGTAATTAAGTTATCATGAAAAAAGTATGTAGTACGGCACTGCTATTAATAGTAAAGTTGATTGTGAACATTTGTCCACTTTACATACAGTTTTATTTGTTTCAACATATCTACCGTATAACAGATTAAGTTATGAAAAAATTAAGGCAACCCATTGTATGACTAAATAAAAATAGCAAGAATTCAGTAAAGAGAATTATCTTCTAGACGAAATCGTTTACTCAAACTGTACATTCGTGTCTATAGTTGTTTGCTAAATATGTGTCTTTAGGAAGATAAAAAGAGATTACATCAGAAAGCAATGTGAAAATAATTTACTGGTTCGAATTATAAAAGATAGGTGTCCACTTGACATGTATGACGAAAAATGAAAAACTCTAAGGTCATAATAACAATTGGATGATAGTCATAAGAAAGTATTAGAGGATAGTAATAACCGATTGCAGTTTATGAATTGTACAAAATAGAAATCAAAACATAAACAAGACTAAAGCACACTGGAAAATGACATTAATGCCATGGAAGTATAAATGGTTGAAAATGTTACTTTTAAATAGAGTTCAAGCATCAGTTGGTGAATTGCCAGTGCCTCAGCAGTACGTAAGTTCTTAATCCGACCTCCCTTTGATCTTATTCTTTCCATTATGTAGATTATTTTGAAGGAAGATTTGTTTGGGGCAACGTAGCCAAAGTTGATGAGGTGCTCTTGTATTAAACTATTCAGTATTTTAAATTCCCCTCCTAAAAGTCATACCGAGTAATATCCTGCAATGTGTTTATAAAGGGTCGGTTTTGTGCAGCCTATGTGACCTGCTCCGCAAGAAAAAGTAAGCTTCTAGATGAACATCGTTTTGACCCTAAACGAAAGTGTACTCTTGATACATCCATGAATGGTGGCCCGGGTTATGAAGACAATACGAAGCTCAGCTGAGTATAAAGTCTTCCTCAAGGATTTTAAAATTAATTTTCTATTGAACTGCCGTTGATCTTTCAATTTGTAGTTTTAGTGTTAAGTTTCTGTCAATAAATCTATCTGATTGACCACTCCTGATAAGTATTCGTCGAAACTGAAGCAGTTCGTCTATTGTTTAAAATTTTCTCTACGCTCTCGTTCTTTTTACTTGATAATTTTAACATGAAGTAAATAACAGTAGTCGATTCGTTCTATATGTCTTTAAACTCATTAAATCGATTTATTGTGCTAACTATTCGTTTCCTTTCTTATCAAACATTTCATGTCAATAGAATTCAATTATTGTTACGTACTAAACAATACATGATATTGGTTACTACTAAGTAGATAATTAATCACTTTACACATGCCAACTCTATATATGGTTAGTTTTACAGTCCGATTATTTCAGTGATTACATCTTCTAATGTGACTCATTGATGTAAGATTGAGTCTCATGAAAATTATTAGTTCTTTCAAGACTGCTGATACAACTTGCTTATAAGTGCCGAATAAACAGAAATTTATATCCAGAGCTTCTTACAGATTGTTCCCAGTCACTTGGGATTAAGTAAGAATAATCGTACAGAAGAATCAATGAATTAATGGAAATACATAAATAAGTAAACTCACAAACTTCGATTCCCGGATATATTAAATAGTGCAATTCATTCGCCAAATATAAGTATGTATACTCGGCTTTGAGTCGCACTTCTATGGAAGCTAATGATACTACTACTCAGTTTTCTAAACCAAAGTAGTTTGTACACGGTTCAAATACGCTCTTTATTGATTGAAACTAAAGTAGACTAACCAATGATCTATCGCGTACAACAGAAATTCTAAAGAACATAATAAAAATTACATTTTCCATAATAATGATGTCTAACTTGACAATATGCAGCGCACACCGATTTCCAGACTTTCCAAAGACAATCAAATCTATCTGTTGTACAGTGCGTCAGTATGCGAAGGTTCATAAATATATGTTCGAGGACAGTGACGATGATCCAGTTAGTGTCGTCTTGAAATACTTGCTTCGGTGGCTTTAAAATATATCACGAATTTCTTTCCAACAACCCACTATGTATAGTGTGTTATTTATAAGTGAAGCCCGGGTTTATTGAGCAGCGTTGCATTCTGTACTACTCTGTGGCTGTAAAATTAGAAGACGTGTAAGTTGGAGGCTTTTGGTCATATTTATCTTCAATACATTACTCATATATCGCTTAAGCAACATTGAGGTTGGGCACAGGGTACTAGACGAAGGTGGGTAGTCGGTTGGTGAGACTGAAAGTCTTTATGATTTGAGGTGCACTCAATACATGTTACGTATACCTAACCACTGATTACCTAGTGCAATTTCGGTTTAAGAGTTTGAAGAGGGGTAGGCAGTCCGAACCACGACATGAAACCAACCCATAAAGTCACCGGCAGTTAAACAAAGACAGTGGTTGAGAACTTTGAATGAAATAGCAAAATATATTCATCCTCTCAATCATGAATTTCAGTATCCCTTCATACTTACATTTCCACTTTCTTTCCAAACCATATTACCAATGTTTAGTTTTTCTTCCTATCATCACCACTACATTATTTCGACCTCTTTTGCCATTGATCTTGCTATTTTCAACTCGTCTTGACAATGTGATATGGCAACATGGGCCAACGGACATTTGTGACAGACTACATTGATAATGACTGAGTGGTTAGTGTTGGCTGTTATGATAGCTCTTGTCCTAAAAAATCATATAAAACCGTGGTCTGGGTAATAAGTGTATGATGCGATTTATTTAATGTCCAATATGTGAAAATTTACATTCTCTTTTTCTAATTAAAAAAATTACTTTTCCTTTCGTTCCTATTTTTCTTTAGGCAGAGAAATGGAAACAGGTGAAACTTCTACTACTTCATTCTATATTAGTCTTATGGTCCTTTCATAGTTTTAAACCCGAGGAATTTCTGTGTAAGCCACTTTCTAGTTCATATATATGTATCAATTTCGTTACATTATGTTATAAATATTGTTTCCTGACGTCACTAACGATAAGTCCTTAACCTTCGTCATAACATTTTTGCATTCTGTTTTACGACTGATTCAGGTGATAATAAACAGTAAAATATTTTTCAATAGGTTGAAAATAGTTTTCCAATCATACTCCCTACACTAACTAGCTTAACACTTCGAAATATGTTGTACCTAAGTGTATCCAATACTTTTCATCATCATTTCAGTCGATAGAAATTCAGTACTTCATGAAACAGTATACTATATCTAGTAACTTTGTAGCTTCACTATACGTGAACAACAATCCTTTGAAGGTATTTATGGTGAAATAATGTAAATGACAGTCAGAAAAATTCAGTTCTCAGGAAGTTATTTGTTTAAGGAAAGTTAAGTCTATGCGAATTTATTCAAACAATCCCAATGTTTGTACGATCGTGTCACATTTCGTTGTGTTCTAATTTGTTTACATCCAGTTAATGTCACATATAGTCGATCCTAAAAGTATGTAATCAAGTAACTGTGATGATAGATTTGGGTGACATATTATGCATTTAATGAAACAACAGAGTCCTTGAAGTATTTTCGCACTTGTCGTCTTGATTTTACATTATGATTGTGATTTATAGTTTTTCTATACGTATTTTCTTTTTACCCATCAGCTGAAAGTTTTGCAAAAAAGAATTACTTTCAAAAATTCATCTACCTGTCAATCGCGTGTTTTGGTTTTCGTCAAAAGTTCTATTTTGCTTGGACTCTTAGTAAGTATTATTAATTCTCACTTCACGGTGACTAGTGGACTTTGCTTAATTATTGTTTCGGTTTTTTTTCTTATTTTACTTTGAGAGTTGGGTGTGTAACTTTGATACTGTATTTTAAACATTAAATTAATTTTCCAGTTATGAACTTTTGGACCAAAGAAATAGGTACTTCAGAAGCTTTATTTGCCTACATCCATTAGATAGGTATGTTGGTGTTGTTTTCTCTGGCCTAGAAAGTTAAATTGCTGGGCTTTCATTGTTATTCTGAACAAAATCATCAGTGCCTACTTCATGTGAAAGTGAGCTTTCCAGTTTTTTTTATAACCTATATGTAAGAAGTCAACCAATCAAGCCAGTCACCATAAAAGGGAAAACAAATGAAGACAGCGAAATTTATCAAATTAATTGATCAGGAACAAATGTTTCAGAAAGAACTGATATTACACATAATTGGTAGTTAATTTTATCCAGAACGACAATGAAAGCCCCGTAATTGAACAGTCTCACTCAGAGAACACCATACAAACAATAGCGTTCACTTGAGCTTCATACATTTCCTCAAGATAGATATGTATTTTGATGCTAAATGGTTAGATGAAGTCAACATAACTAAACCTTAGGCATATTTGTCATTTGAATCTCACGTTTTGAACATCACTCCTCTCAATATTGCAGACGTGTCTTGCTGAAGAGTCGCAAATCACACGGACCGTGCCGATTGTCTTCAACGCATTGATATCAAAATATAGTGTACGCGATATCGCAACGCTAATACTTATATACCTTACTGCAATTTGATCGACAGGACTCTACTTTCAGTAGACAAGGTTGACGTTAGCTATTGCTGGCCAGTGACCAATCATTAATGATATATTTCATTATTATGAGCTGGTACGATTCAGTTGTCATAGTTTCAACTCTTGACTGATGCTATAGTTTAGAACACAATTACGAATCGATTAAATTTCTATTTACTCAGGATCTAAGATCTAGAGTAGAAATTCATGGGATTCATATGATTCTTCCTAATATATACTTTGTTAAATGCATCCAGTTGTATTTCTGCTGTTTAATATTACTACTTGATTCAGCTCCCAAATACCCTGGTACGGTTGAGGGTAGAGAGCTTCAGCTCTCTGGAAATGCTCTCATATGGCCTTACATATACAGCCACTACCAGGGAAGTCCTATTCATTGTCTTCTCTCGGCGTTACTGTTGTTTACGAAATTGAGAGGACGAAAAGTGAATGTCCGGTGCTTTAATCGGGCTGGTGGATACGGAGGGTCCATCTAGGTTATTTGGAAAACCCTGATTCCGAACCGATGATGCATATAGACTCCGGGACCTTGAGAGGACAAATGGCGCATGAACTTAATGTTGGTCACCGGCTACCATGAGACTGTGCCCCCTAACGTTGCTCCATTGCCTTGTGGATTAGGTCTTTAGATCGAAGCCTCCGGGCGTGGTCCCCTAAGAAGACAACCTGCCTCGGTTTGGTCACCCGGACAGTATCACATCCCTCACACAAATGAGTGATAACTACTACTGGCCTCATCGTTATTGTGTGGTGCATATGTGTTTGGTGCCCCCTTGTACCAATGTTTATATGTTCAAATAAATAAATTAAACTACTTGATTCCAACTTTTGAATCAGTTATGGACTTATCAATAACATTATGTGAATTACCTAGACTTGATGCATCTGTATGACGAGTGATATATATACTTATTTGTTTATTTCCTGATTAGGTTGTCTATCAAATTTAGTCGCAGGTTTTGGATTTTCTGGATTTAATAGTGAAGGCGAACCGGAATATCGTCTGGCTACTAATATTTACTTTTTGCCTATTGAGGTAAGGACATTCCTTGCTTTGTTAGATATTTACATATTCTGTCAATAAATAAGTATTTAGTAGGCAAAATGGTTCTGATTATGAAAAGATGAACAGTACAATTTACGTGAATCGAATCTATGAAATTCTATGAATAGTTCATTCGAGTTTGGGCACCAGGGCAGTATCACAGCCCTCACACATATCGAATGAGATTTGTGTGGCGTATATGTATTTGGTGCCTCCTTGTACCAATATCTATGTGTTAAATAAATAATAAATAAATCATTCGAGTTTACAGGACGATGAATGTTATAAAGAAACTTAAAATATTTTATATCAAATGAGAGATAATTATCACCAATGAAAATGAAATATAATCTTGGATTATCGTGGACAAATCCAAGTTTGTGTATGCATTTAGATTATGATCCGTTGAATATCAACATAGTGGTGGTGTTCTCAAAGTGTAATTAATGTATTCACCACAAAATCTTAGTGTCAAATGTACACACTACTGAGAAATCTATTACTAGTATGTGTGAATCGACTACCCGATGCTCTATAGTTTTCAGTGATTATCTAATTATTTTACCATCAACAATACTTGATTATTAAGATCCGTCACGTTCTTATATGAATCGATACCGTACAGGCGATGTTTTCTAGTGCAGGAGTAGTATGGGAGAAGGCTTGAGGCGGCCAAACTAAAACATGACATCAATCCATGAAGTCACTGACAATTGGAATTGACCATGTAAATAAGTATAGACTACTTGATTGGGTTCCGCGTGATTATTGTAACCAGTGTTTAGAGACCTTGAATGAAATGGCTAAAAATCGTTTGGAATAGAGCAGGTGCATCCATTTTTTGTCTTCTCGTAAATCCTGAGATTGTAAATTCCTCATAATTTTTTAAAATTTTATTTCACTAATATGTATACTTTTTTTCAAGTTGTGTATTCAATGCCTAATGTTTTCTAATACCACTGATACTGTTAGTATGTCTACTATTCTGTGATTTGGTTTGACAATTTCATCTTGGTGTGCTAACGGGTGTGGCGATTTGAAACGATGTACATACGTACAAGTTCTACGTTGTGATTGACTGACTGAAGTAGAATTTGGATACGTTATTGAATCGCACCAGTAAATAATCTTCAGGTCACGGTTTCTTCGAAAAATAGATCAATAAGATATGGATAAAAATTCTTTCCTTTATTTTTTTTACTGTATAGGTTTCCAGTCGTTTTTTGTTCTTGGATTTTATTTATTTACAAAATGCATCCAATTTCTAACGATTAAGAAGTAAACGCAACTGTGTGATCATCATTTACCCATTTTTGTACTACTATTAATAGGATCAACTGATGACATTATTTATTTATTATTTTATTTATTTGAACACATAAATATTGGTACAAGAGAGCGCCAATATATATGCGCCACACAAAGCAATGAGAATTTAAGGGGAAGGGAAAGAAGAAGAAAAAAAGAATAATAACAAAGAGACTGATGTAAGGTGGTGTAATAATAACAATGGTAAAAATGGGGAAACGGAACGGTACAATCCGAAGAAATCTTTCAGTTAAGGAAGACACAACCACTTTTTATGAAGAAAGTAAGAGAAGGTTACAGCAGGATCGCCACTGGCTTCTATTCTGAGCCATATCTGATAACGTCTCTAGCCACTGTGTAGCACCATCTCTCAGACCCCAACCAGGGAGTCGTGAAGGACCGACAAAAGCCAGCCCTTTGCAACTTTCTTTCATCCCACGACACCATGTCATATACCGACCACCTCTCAGCTTATTCCAACCAGTCCCAGAGTCGGCAAATAATACACGACGTGAAATTCTCTGGGACGACATTCGTAGAACATGTCCAAGCCACCGAAGTCGGTGTTTCAAGATGGTGACACCAATTGCATTATCTTCTCTGTGCCCGAACACACGATGCCGAACCTCTGCATTACTAACATGGTGTTGCCACTGGATGTCAGCAATCCTTCGGAGACAACGACGATCGAACACAGAGAGTCGTCTAACATCCTCAACTCGGAGAGGCCAGGTTTCACAAGCATAGAGCAGAACTGCTCTCACCGACGCGTTGTAGATCCGACCTTTTACAGCCAGACTAACATCACGAAGGTGCCAAAGATGGCCCAGATTAGCATAAGCCGCTCTGGTTTTTACTATACGTGCATCGATCTCATCACTCACACCCCCACCGGCACTTATGTAGCTACCCAGATACACGAACTTCTCGACTACGTCTATCAGCTCACCATCCAGAGTGAGTACAGGATTAGAATCCTTCCAGTCTTGTAGAAGTACTTTGCACTTCGAAGGTGCAAAGCTCATACCGTACCTACGGACACTGATGACATTATGACAATAAAAAGTTTTCTATGTAGTCAGTCTATTGATTAATTATCTTATTGTAATGTAGTTAAGAATACATTACCTAATCACTCGTTTCATGCTAATTAGTAGATATGTGATATTCAGTATTTCATTAAAAATCATTATTATTATCATTATCCTTTATAATTATCACTGATTATAAGTGTAACTGTTTATTGCCTAACTATTAGTTTTGTTAAAAATAGGGAAAATTGACACAATCATTTGCTAATACCCCAATAATATTATTATTACCATTTTTATTACTTTTTGTCACCATAATCGTAATAGTTTTGTGAGAATTGTGTACAATTGAAAATGCCCTGGTATGGCTAAGCGTGAGGAGAGTCAGCTCTCCCACTCGAAATGCTCTCACATGGCCACATATATGCAACCATTACCAGGGAAGTCCTACTCACTGTCTTCCCGTTGCGGGGGTGTTATCTACGAAATTGAGAGGACGAAAAGCGAATGTTCGGTGCTTTAACCGGGTCGGTGGACATGGAGGATCTGTACAGGAGAGTTGGAAAACCCTGATTTCAAACAAATAGTGCACATTGGCTCCAGGATCCTGAGGGAACAAATGGCGTATAAACCTATTGTTGGTCACTGACTACTATGTGACTGCGTCACCTGACGTTGTTCACTGTCTTGTGGATCAGACTTTTAGGCCAAAGGCTCTGGGTGTGGCCCCCTAAGAAAACCACCTGCTTCGGTTTGGGAGCCCGGGCAGTATCACAGCCCTCACACATATCAAATGAGATCTGTGTGGCGCATATGTATTTGGTGCCTCCTTGTATCAATGTCTATGTATTTAAATAAATAAAAATAAAACAATTGTAAAGAAATTTTTTCTCATCACAATAATTTGCTACAATTATTTGATTCTTATTAAGCGAGTTAAATATTTCTGGTGAATTTGTGTTCTTTAAGTTGGATAGTTTAGGTCAGTAGTTTTTCTTGTCTTTCTAGACAATATCATCAAAACAAATTTCAGACAGAAATGATCTGTAAGAAGTTCTTCATGTATAAGTGGTTGTTTGTTCTATTGACCTTCAATTTTATGAGTATTTTGCTTGAATCTTTATTTTGACTGTCTTCTCGTTTTGATCATCATAGTTTAATTTCAACGTATTGTGTTTACCATGAGGTGTATAGATCTTTCCTTTAACCTTATATGGTGTTACATTGTAGGTGCACACTTCTGTGAAGTCTTAATTTAGCGAAGAGCACCTATTCAGTGCTTACGTAATTTTAGCTACTCTTCTGTTAATATCAATTCACGTTTAAAAGTACTTTCAAATCATTGTTGAAACATGCTTCACTTTACGTGCTACTATTGTTTCTCTTTCTAGAACTAATTTTATTGATTATTGTGTATTAAAACAGTTTATGTATTTGATTATGAGGAAATGATTATCTATATTTTCTTAAGCTTGGTACAAGTACAAAAACAATCATAGATTCTTGGAATACAGCAACAACACGTTGGTTACGTGAATGTATATATGATCGTGTACCAAAACGTTATGCTGTTTGGGCAGTTTTCGTTGCATCAGCCATGTGGCATGGTTTCTATCCAGGTTATTATCTAGTTTTTGTATCTGCAGCTCTAATCACAGTGACAGGAAGGTTAGTTTAAGCATTTTTTTGAAGTGGTAACGAAGAGTTTACTTGTTATATTCGATTTAATTTCATATTGACCTCGTTTTTATTGTGAAACTAAGAATTGCAAAGCTAATATTTTCTCTAGTTTGACACTCATTAGTGTGTTCTCTCTATTTCATACATACGGAGCATAACTAAAGTGTTTTCTGGTCACACGACAATGATTTCATGTCATGGAGTTATCGGTTCTGTTTCACTTGATGGTTCTATCTATCAGTTGTACCTTACGTTTTACCAGATATAATATTTTTTTGTAAAAAATTACTTATAAATGTGTTCACCCTTTTGGTTTGAATATACATTCAGATTTTCGTACTAAAACCATCTTGGTTGTGTATTATTGCAACTTCAACTGATCTTTTTCCTCTCTAGGTGGATATCTTTCTTTCAAATAAATACAAAAGTATTCCTATCAAACCTTTTTGAGACTTAAACAGAGAATCTTGACGAACTCTCTCTATATATATGAAGATATGTTTCACAGTTAAACTTATGTTTATTGAGTAATAGTAGTAGTCATTTTATTCAAAATCATAATTTTAATTGTATCGAAGAATTTTCAGTGCAGATATGTTATATTACAGCGAAATTTCATTTTAATATCCATTTAACCTATTATTATTCGAACTATATGTATGAAAAATCATGTCCTTCATGCAATATCAAACGTTTCTAACCATTTTCACTCTAATGACTTGTTTTTTTTTTCCGTTGCGTAATATATTTGATGCATGAATTCCAATTCAAGCACTTTTTGAGAAGAAAATTGCATCAACGATCATGATAATTCAACTTGAATTTATCAGTATTTATCTGTATTAAATTAGGAAGTTTCGATCAAAACATTTGTCTATATATTAGGCGGTTAACATGAACTATTAGTCAATTAAAATGAATCGAAAATCGGAAAATTTGTAACATTTACAAAGTTAGGAAATAATCGAGCTGGAAGTTTAAGCAAGTTGCACGTAAAACTACTATGAATATCCCCGTTCGACAGTGTACCATCATAAGTGTACTGCTTACAAAGAACAGGATATAAATTAAGAATACAAAAATTATTTGGTCTCGAAATGATACAAATTAATAAAAGTGATATGTATATGTATATATATAATCATGTTTGATCAACATTTGTCAGATTTCACAGTTATCTAATTGTAAAGTAAAAATACCAACTAACACTTTGCATATGAAGATCACTTTCTTGTCTCCCAGTCAGATAGCTTTAAATGATCATACTTGCCAAATTAAAACTAGTATGTATTTGTGTAGGAGACAAGTTGAGGCATCATTTGTAACTATTTGTTTATTCACTGGAAAGCAATATTTATAGTGTAGTGACTGATAATAATTAGTCGTAAATATCAACTACAGGAGAACACAAACTACGACAAATATAATAATATAAATCATAATTGTTTAACTAGTGGACGATGTTTTGAATAGAGCCCTCTGATATTTAAAGCAGTAGATAGTTGGTTAAAGTTTCAATATGCCTATCATATCAACAATAGATTGTAATTACATTCAACTGATGAGTTCTAAACTGGATAAAAATGGGCTTCTTCAATTTTCTCTTTCACTTTCTTGTATTTTACACTACCCATAACCTAACGCTTCAATAAAATGTTAGTGCATGGAAAAAGGTAACTATTGTTTTGAAACTTTTTTTTCCAATTGTAAGACTGTACTTGAAAATATACTTATCAGATATCGAAACAATGTGTCTTACCAAAATGTGTGTTTCTCTTGTTCATTTTGAATATCCTTCTTATATATATATTTTTTTTCTGATCACAGTTGAGAATAGCATGTGATACATTGAGAATAAGATCAATTCATCATTTTATTATTTTTCTTAACTGCAAATCGACTAGATTGACATACTTGAATTTGATAAGGTTTTAATGTGAGTGTAAAAATTGTTAAGATGAATGCATAATTTGTATGTGTTGAGAAGTTAGCTTTGTACACTCAAAATGGGTGGTTTCAATAGTAAATGAATAATACTAATAATAACAAAATGAATTATTACATAACAGAATAGTAAGATCATTGATTTCATCTATATTAAAATTCATTCTTCTAGTACATTTATTTATAACAGAGCTTTCCTTCTAAATATTTATAGGTTATGTTAGAAACATGTGATAATTATAGCTTTTATCAAGTAAACTTTTTATGTGTATTATGTTGAATACATTCAATATTATCCATCTTATGTTTACTATTTACTCAACAAATCCCTATCAGACCGCGTTTGTAATCATTTCGACTTTTTCGAAGAATGTACCAAGTAAACTTTGTAGAAACATTTTATAAGACCGTCTCTTTCTTTTTCCTTCTGTGATTCTCACGATATGCTTACCATGTGATTTAAAAGTTCTTAGCTAAAGTCCTCTTAAGGTCATGGTTGCACATTGTTAACAAATTCCAGATTAGAGTTACATAAGTGTTTGGTTTTTGATCTGTGTTAGTCCTTCGGCTGATATTTATCCTTGACAAAATTAGGAAGGAGAACGATAATTTTGATAAGTGTGCCTATTTACAATTTTTTTATGTTTTCTGCCCCTACACCTTCCTTGAGAGGTTGAATAGGGATAGTGGTTAATTACTGATAGAAGTATGTTGTTTCTAGTTTTCGATAAAATGGATAAAATTGTAGTACATTTGATATTGCATAAAAATAACCCTAGAACAAACATTTCTTTTGGCTGTTTTTGTTAAATTATAATGTTGGCACATTCTGTATTATGGTGTTTCACACAAACTTTATTTGTTCATACTTCTGTGGAACTCGCTATTAGTTCCGTCTACTAGGTAGTAGAAAGCAGTTCTTTTGCAGCCATAACCAACAGTCATACTAGTAGCAGTAGTGAACAATTTCAGCACGAAAGAACAGTTTAGTATTCAGAAAATATTGATTGTCCTTACTATGAACCTTCATCGACTAAAGTTTTTACAACATATGTTGCGTGAACCTGGCCAAACTTTGGTGGAGTTTCGTTCTCTGAGCTCAGTGGTTTAGTCATGAAGCTTTCAGTGTTCTTCCGAAAAACATGAGAAAAAAATTAGGTAGAAGTAAGCTACAAATCTATTATTTCAATATCAATATGAGTGTACTTGATCACAACCTAACCCGACTTACAAATGTGACTGGTATTATAATAGATTTAAAACAGACCAGTAACGAACAGTTGACGAAATGGCATAAGTTACTGAAGTCATCCACTGCTAATGTGAATAGTTGTAGACTCTCTGATTTGGGCCTCCACAATAACTGTAATCAGTTATTAGGAATGTTTTGTAATATGTTGGAAAATCGTTCGCAGGAGTACAGTTGAAATCACTCTTTAATCTTTATATTGCGTTATTTCTAATCTTCTTGCTCCTTTCGAATTATGTTTCTTATGTTTAGGTTTCGATTACAGTTGAAATTAATTATTCCCCTTTACCTCTCGTCTTGTTAATTTCCCTTCTTGATGTGCTGATATAAGATGTGGAAACCCAAACCGATGCATATTCGTTCCAGTTCCTACATTAATAACTGACATTTCAAACTTTGTAGACTTTTGTTATAGTTATCCTGTCATCTCAGTCACTTTCTTTCATTCGATAATACCAGTCTCAGTACCTTAAATGAGCTCATCCTTTAGTTCCCTCGAGATCGTGTGTCATAATATTATTTCATGCCTATCACTCCTAATTTCTATTTGTGCTTGTTGAACTATGATTTTTATGTTTAGTTTCCCGTTTCTATTTGTTCGCGTTATATTTCGCAATTCACCTCTGGATGTGTTGATCTGATATATGAATACTTATTTTGAATCACGTTTGTAACTTCTTTATGACCGAGTGACTGTATAGTAATGTTTGACTGGTCATGTTCGCTGTTACAGTAATGAATTAGTTAGAACGTTATTTTTCAATTGACGATATCAGTGGGGTCGTGGATGTGCGCTGAAGAGGAGTCCCATACAAAGTCGAAACAACTGCCCAGTGCTTCCTGGTTTCCGATAGTTGTTTAACTGAAATCAGTTCGTCGTCGCATTAAATTTATGATAATTGATTTTTCCCTCTTACTTGTTGTTATGACCTTGATCTGTCTACTCTAGATTAAGACCTCGACGCAATAGGCCGATCGGTTTAACCTTGAGGCTAGTACGCGTGAGTTCGAGGTGGGGTAGAGAGAAGAAAACCATTCTAGCACCAGATCGGCTGGCAAGCACGCGAATAAGAGAAGACGAGACAGTTGGAACACTATTGGCTGTATTGCGATATCCTGATTTCCTGTGAAATCTCTGAATTCAGATTAGTGCAAAAAGGTACATGAATAAATAGGTGATTTACCTGACCACAACGTACAATAAATAGGAAAAATACAATTATTATCAGAAGGGGTTTGTGGAGATAATAATCATCTGCTCACTAGTGACTGACTTCAAGAGATACTCCTAGAGTTCTAGTGGGAAGCCGTTACCAGTGGAGTTCAACTAGGTCTGTTGTGAGATATTAGCTCACTGAAGACAATGGTATACGGTGGTGCAACTTCGTGGATTGGTTGAAGTTAGACATTAACACCGTTGGATGCCGGCTCAGTGGTCTAATGGTTAGGTGCTCGCGCGCGAAACCAGTAGGTCCTGGGTTCGGATCCCGTGGGACCGTGGAGGCGCACTGCTTAGGAGTCCCATACTAGGACGAAATGGTCGTCCAGTGCTTCCAGGCTTTTCATGGTGGTGTAGCTTCAACTGATTCATGATTTCAATCTGTGAAAATACAATTATGTCCAAAACTCGGAATTAGGATAGAAAATAAGGTGCAAAATATTGTTTAGATTATAATAGCTTCGGAACAAAAAGGGGTATGACAATGAATGACACACCGAACGAAAGCTCATGTTCTGTAGAATAAAATAGTGACAAAAATAAATGTCAGTATTTTACAAGATTTGAATAAAATGAAATAACGTCCCGAAAAATAGCTTTCGTAATTTGTCAGGGTTTTTTGTTTCCCTGTCCACATCACTTGTGATTTGGTTTTTAAAAAATTAGCTGATTTTAATAATCATATATATTCATCACAGATTTACTTCAGTTCGGATACTATCCGAAACCATGTAGTGGTATACATGGCTGTTTCGTCCTAGTATGAGTATCTTGAATTACGTTCATAATCCAAACTCTAAACTTTCAGATCTAGCTGTTGGTACTTAACTTCTGAACTGCCAAATTAAACTCCACTGTTTCACGTTTCCAACTTTAATCACTTCATAAGGTTGGTGTGGAGAAACATTATAAGAAGTCGTGATTTTTAGTTTTGGAAAATATTGGATGTGAAACAGTTGCCATCAATGACATTAGATGATTGGTGCATCATATCCGTGAAAAGATCGAAGTTACAATTAGACATTGATCCATTGGTTTTACTGGTTACATGTTTGTCATTAGATTCTGAGTTCGATCCACGGTCGAATCATAAATGGATTCTGCTAAGAAGTTTTTCACTAAGATGAAATAGCTATCTAGTATTTTATAATTTTCAATAGTATCTCACAATCGAAATCAATCTATGACAGATTCAATCTACAGTTGTGTATATATGCTTAAAGTTTTATCTAGTTTGTTTCCTCTTTTATTTATCCTTTATTTTCTAATGCTTATTCTCTTCTATTTTTTTTATCGAGTGATTTTTCTTATAAGGTCATTCATTGATTAAATTAAAAAAAGGGAGAAAGAATAAACATCATGTGATAATGATAACCTATAAAGAGAACTATTTTCTGTTTAGTGTAAATTATCTCTGGTATTACCAGCATAGTGATCATAGTGATTATCATGATTTTTTTCTAAAAAAAATTAGTAATTTTTATTTATTGATTGATTTTTTAATGAACTTCTATTCTCTCTTTATTAATTATATATATATATAATTAAGATATTATACGAAATTACGTAACACTTATTTTTCATATTACAATATACATGTACCTATCTTAACAATATAAGTTCATATAATCTGTATTTCTATATTGTCAGCGTATTGTTTGTTCTATGATGTAAGTCCTCCAACTCTGTACGGTTGAAAAGGCCATCAATAATCTCAAGCAAAACAGGGCCTAATAGACTAACTGTTGAATTTTTTTAAGCATAGTAGTCCAGTTTTAGTAGATAAATTTACTGAAATTTTGCCTGAATCTGGGGACTAGACATACACCCTCCCCATCTGACTGGTCTCAGTGGTTGCTGATCGTTACAGTTTATAAGAAAGGACAAAACTCACCTTGTGACAGTCACAGAGAAATCAGTTTAACTAATTTAGTGTCTAAAATGTTAACCTTAATAATGCTTCGATATCTAACTAGAGCTCTTGAAGAGCAAGGCCGAGAGATCCAGGTTGGTTTCAGACCTGGAAGTATATGTATAGACCAACTATACACCCTTTGACAGATTCTGGAACACAGAAATACTTTCCGACGTCCAATTATAGCTGTATTCCTTGACCTAAATGTTGTGTTCGACTCCGTTGATCATGACGTTCTATGGCAGTATCTGTCATTGAAAGGTGTACCAAAGAATTACATTAACCTTGCACAGACACCCTACTCAAACTGCTGGTCGAGTCAGAGCTTAATGGCGAACTGTCATCAAAATTGGTTACTTCAAGTGGTGTTCTTCAAGGTTACCCTCTTTCTCCATTTTTATTCAACACTGTCATAGACATGCTTATAGTGATAACGCTTTCATCGTCTGACTTTTCAGGGCTTGATCTTCTACCAGGAGATTCACTTTCTGACCTGGAATACGCAGATGATATAGTTCTGTTTTATGAAGACGCTGACAAAATTCAGACCTTAAACAATCCTAGCATGATTGGGGTGCATCTCTCTGCAAATGTAAAATGCTACTTCGGGAGTGGTTTACTTCATCGCCTGAATTAGTGATAAGGTGTTAAGTAGTTGAACGCATTGAATGCTTTACTGATCTCGGTGGTCTCATCAGTCGTGAAAGTCTGGTGTCTGACGAAATCTCAGCACGAATTCAGTAGACTCAATTGGTTTTTGCCAACTTGCGTCACTTGGAGTGTAAGCGAGATATCTGTCAGTTCGCTCCATCCTATTTTACGAGTGTAAAACATGACCATTAAAAATAGAAGATATTCGGATGTTACTGGTGTTTGATCATAAATGTCTAAGATTGTAAATTCCTCATAATTTTTTAAAATTTTATTTCACTAATATGTATACTTTTTTTCAAGTTGTGTATTCAATGCCTAATGTTTTCTATTACCACTGATACTGTTAGTATGTCTACTATTCTGTGATTTGGTTTGACAATTTCATCTCGGTGTGCTAACGGGTGTGGCAACATGAACCGATGTACATACCTACAAGTTCTATTTTGTGATTGACTGACTTAAATTCTATGGTGAATAGTGTGGTTGATAAACATCCAACTTTTTGAAATCGAATAAATAGTTTACTCATAAAACTATATTGCATTTGCTGACCAAATAGATCCTAGAAAATTATAACATTTGTCAGTTAACTGAATGGAGGGGAATGAAGCAATAACATAAAAATACGATCATGCATTCAACAAAAATTACATGATTGTGAATCGATTTGGCTGTAACAGAAAAAATATTCACAAAATAACTACATTGGCTATTCTTCTAGTTTGTTGTATTATTAAGTAATCTGGACTGAACAAACATAATACACCCAATAAAGAATTGTATATTCAACGGATTTCCACCAAAGCATTAAAAAAAGTTATACTCATCAATTATTTCTTTGTACTTAAATACAGAATACCTTCAAACATATATTCGTTCTTTTTGGTCTATCAGTTCGAAACATTGTGGTCATGCTGTTTAGGCAACCAATAGTCTATAGTCATTTATGAATATTGTGTTCGCTATGGCATGTTTTGTTCGTTAGTAGGGTCTCCAACTTTTTTTATTTCAAATTGAGCTGTTGCTGAGGTGAATAGCTGCGGATAGGGGCTTCAAAGTATTGGTTACGTCTTAGTTCAGTAAGATCTAGGTTTTGTTAATATAATATTGAATCATGCAACTTCAGATTCAAACTCATCTCAAGTTGTTCAACAAGTTTGACCTAATAATGTCGCACATTCCTGTCACACTGGGTGTGTCATAACGCTCAGTTTCCCGTCTACAAAAATGGGGCGCTAATTTGCCCTGGATCAATATCTTCACTAAATGCACTCCCAGTGTCTATTCTACAGGACATCAACACAACTCAGGTCAAAGCACGTGATTAGCCTGACTAGAACGTGAGTATATTTCCCCACCAAAACCCGACAACAACCACAATAATAATATGGGTAGGGGAATATATGACTTATCTAACACCTGTCAGACTACCTGTTAATCTGATGAAGCAAACAACCAATCGTTATCTTCCTTGCCTACTCATTAGGATATTACTCATAACTAAGTTTCCAAGGTAATACACAGTTTGAATACTACTTCACTCTAATGGTTGTGCTATGCGAACACAGTAACGCATGTGTTATCTGCCACTGCTTTCTCTTATACCTAGACCTTTCTTAAATTCTAACACGAAACAACTTTTACCCGCTGGCTTTTCAGTGGTTGATCTTCTACCAGAATATTTACTTATTACTGATTTCTAATATTCAGGTAAAATTCCATTCAACGAACTAATTGACGAATTGACATTACAAAATTTTCTAACTTCCAAATTATTTCATAAATTGACCATTTAAACAAAAATGTATTGTGTTTTCTTTTTCAAAATAAAATTTATGTAGAGTTTGTCGAAAACATCTCCGGCCGTATTTTCTTCATTCGTCCGGATTACATTGTTTCTATAATGTACTAACTAATTTAGGCGCTATGTTATGTTTAAATTATTTGGGTATACCGTTTCTTCTATTGACTACTGATAAAGTTTTGCATTTTTGGAGGTTAGTTAAATTATGTATATATAGATAAAAGTCGATATTGTTATTGTCGTTGAAATTTCATTTGTAATTTTACCACGTATTGTTATATGCAGCTGATGTTTTGATTCATTCGATTTTGAAATGTTGAGCATTTCCTAGCTCAAGTGGAGATTTTTATTTTGTTCCGCCATTAGATTCCTATATACTTACTTCCTGTACGTAACCGTGACCTGGTATGTGACTGAAAAGATTAAAAGTGGAGTGGGAGTTTTGTTAGTACATAAAGTTCAAGTATTCATGTATATTCAAATAAACACTGAATAATTATTTATGCTCATGATTCGAGACTCTTATTATCAACTGAGGTTACGCAATAATTAAGGGGTACGGAAGGAAATACAAGGATGAAAATAATTAACGGGTCAGATTACATTGGTTGCACAAAGTGATCACTTTTCAAACCTATCTGAGAACACTATCTGGCTTTACTAGTTCTATACAGAAGCATATAATCAACTGTGGACACATCGCTCCAAAGGAGTCTTTTTTTAAAGTAATCTATACAATCAAATGAATTGGATCAAAGGGATGTCGAATCAATATTTTATGTACTACTGAGGCATTGGCAATTCACCAGCTCAAGTTGTTATAACTTGTGGCCTGTTAATGTATAACGTAACAATACCGCCAATTAAAGAGCAGTGAATTATCGATCGGACCAATGACGCGTAAAACCCGTGCGAGCAGTCTAGAGTCCTTATCGATCCTGCTTCCTGCCTAGCCCAGCCAGTTATTTCAAGCATACTGTGTTTATATACCAACCAGACAGACCACATCGTACCTTAAAATAGGAAACAACATTCGTACAAGATTTAGCCACATGTGGCTGTGAATGTGGGAGGTAGTAGTTAATAGACAGGGGATAATTCGAGAATGGTAAATCGTATGATAATAGTTCATAGGTCAAAATAAAGCTCATAATAAGAGGGACATGAATATGAATAGTTTATTTAATTAACAATTATACGATAAAAATATACGTATAGTATTAGTCCATAAATGGATCTCAAAAGTTACCATTCATTATGCTTATCGGGACATAACACAATCACTTGATTTACTTTTGGATTTCGATCTTTAACATTCGATAAATCAAACTATTAAGCATTAATTTCAATATTGTTATTATTTATCACTAATGTTGTATAATTTTCAGAATATAAAAGTGATTCTATTCTATTAGTACATTAATTAGATATTAATGATCGTAGAGTATACACTACTAATGTTTGTTCTCTTCTCTTTTCTCTACTGTTCTTTTTTTTAATTCTTCAGACAAATGCACTTTATTGGGCATATTGGACCATTGGCTTTAATTATTGGCGTTCCTTTATTATGTGGTAAACCAGGAGAAATATAGGAATATATACTAATGATAATATGACATGGATTCTAAAAAAAAAATAAAATTTGTTAATAAATCTTCGTCATATATTCACAAATGTACTTGGTAATAATAGAGGAAAAGTAAGGATCAGCCGATATCATCGGCTGATGATTCATATTTTCTTTTTTTTTCAACATTATTATTATTATTATTATTATTCCGTGTTTATGAAGAACAAATACAGGTTATTTGTTTGTCTATTATATTTGTATTTTTACTTAAAGCAATTCCGTTTAAGTCTCAACATATACGTTACTTTATTGTTAATGATAATAATAATAATAATACGATTTTCCCTACTATTTATTATTATTAATAACAAACACAATAAGACCCTTCAAGCATATGAAGACACACATACACATATACATGCGTTTTGTCAGCCAATATTCTTCATATCATATTACATTTACTCTATTCTCATTAGTATTATTAATGGCGTTGTTATTTTATTATCTCCAGCTTTTTACAACTGACCTCAAAAGTATGTTTTCTTGTTTGGTTTTATTTTTTTGTTCTTCATTATTCATTGTCCACAATGTATGTTTATTATTTTGTTACTACTTATATCTGTTTAAGTTGTAAAAGAGCGTATATATATATATATGTTTATGTATAAATTTATCTCCTGATATTCATGTACTATTTTGTTACTTTTTTTGTGTGTTAGTGGTTAACACATTACAATTTGTTGTTTACAAAACTGGCATATGATAAGATAATAAAATAAGACGCAGTCTATGTGTTTCATAATCATTATTCATATTAGAATCAATGTTTAATATACAACAAAAAAAAAGATTGATACAATATTTCTCATGTTGATATAACTGATTAATAGTATCATTTAAGACTGTGATATACTACTACTTAGATAATTAAAATAACTCATTGAATAAAAATAAAGAGAATTCAGCAAAGATAATTTTCTTTTCGACAAAATCATTTCTGTAAACTGTATATTCGTATTTATAGTTATATGAAAGATACATAAGTCTATTTCATTATAAATTGATTCGAGATTCTTATTATTAAATAAGGTTACGCAATAATCAAGGCGTAAGAAAAGAATATAAGGATGAAAATAATTTACAGGTTGGATAATTGTCCAATTGACAGATATGAAGAAAAAATGACAAACATAAAGGTCATAATAATAAAAAACTGAATAGTAATATCAGAAGGGGTTTGTGGAGATTTTAGAAATTTCACAGATTTAAATCATGAGTCAGTTGAAGCTACACCACCATGGTGAAACCCGAAGCACTGGACGGTCGTTCCGTCCCAGTATGGGACTCCTCAGCAGTGCACACCCACGACTCCGCACCCCGCGGGATTCGAACCCAGGACCTACTGGTTTCGCGGGCAAGCACTTAAATATTAGACCACTGAGCCGGCATCCGACGGTGTTCATGTCTAACTTCAACGAATCCACGAAATTGCGCCACCGTATACCATTGTCTTCAGTGAGTTTCTATCTCATAACAGACCTGGTTGAACTCCACTGGTAACGGCTTCCCACTAGAGGAGTCCCATACTAGAAGGAAACGGCTGTCCAGTGCTTCCAGGTTTTCCATGGTGGTCTAGCTTCAATTGACTCATGATTTCAATCTGTGAATAGTAATAACCAAGAAAACCTGTATAAGGTGGTAGTAGTAATAATAACTGAGTGCAGTTTAGAATTACAAAACACTAATTTAAAAAGTCGATAATAATAAAATAAGAAAGGAAGTGAAAAGCGAAACATACTACTAAAGGGAATTAGGGCTAAGGAAAGATGAGAAGTTGGACGAATCGTTTTTGCACACAAAGTTCGAGCTTGAGTTGGTGGATTGCTAATGTATCAGCAGTGCATAAGATTTTGATTCGACTTCCTTTCGATCCAATCCCTTTGAATGTGTAGATTACTTTAAAAGAAGACTCCTTTGAATCGGTGTCCAAAGTTGATTAAATGTTCCTTATTGAACTGGTAATTGCTTAGCATTCTCCTTTTAAAAGCCATACGGGGTGGTGTTCTGAAATGCGTTTGGGAAGTGATCGCTTTGTGCGGTTAATATAACATGCCCCACATAAGCAAGTAAATTTATAGATGCACATTGATATGGCCTAAAGTGGAAGTTTATCCTTAACACATCCGTGAATGGTAGGCCGGTTTGAGAAAACAGTTCGAAGTTTAGCTGAGTAAAATGTTTTATTCAACGATTTTGAAAGCATAGTAGTTTCCGTGAGAGGACCATTTGTAAAGAGAGAAGTGACATCCAATGAGGATATTTTCCTACCATTTACATTGATATTTTTAATTGAGTCGATAAAGGAATCAAGAAAGTTGAGTCATATCACACATATTAGCGTCAAGTTTCCTCTGTAATGAATTATCTTTTGTTGGCTAAGTGGTTTTATCTTGAAACTTTCATTGTCTTTTTAAACAAAATCACCTGCATATAACTGAAGTCCTTCCTAATAAAAGATATCAAATTTATGGGTCTAAAAAGTCTTATCAATCTGTCAGTCATCATAGCTTTAAGAATTCTCTACATAAACTTTTCTTTCCGAAGATTTTATTTATTTGATCTATAGAGTTATACTTGTAGTTAATTTATAAATGATGAAGAATATCTACATCTCTAGTGGATTATTTTGGTAGTGTTGTGTCCTTCGAGCTAAATGATTTATTTGAAGAACTGCATATGCAAGTAGAGGCTGTTGTTTCCTAGAATGACAATGAAAGTTCTGCAATTCAATAATCTAACTCATAAAACACAATAAACCACTAAAAGTTCTAAATATTGTTTATAATAAAAAAGAGATGTTACATCATTCTACAAATTTATCGAAATTTTTCAAATGTAATTAGTAAGGATTTATGAAGATTGTTGAATTTCATTGAAACAGAACCCAGAATTTTTGGTATTCGGCTTGAACGCTTAACCTTGAGACTACTGAGTCTCCATTTAACGGTGTTAGCACTGTTATGGGGTTTTTAGAAAAGAACGCAAAAGATAACTGTCTACTCTGTGAGTATAGAAGATGAAGAATAAGATAGCGATTAGTAATAATGACTGTGGTCATAATATAATAAGCAAATAGACATGACTCTTTTGTACACAAAGATTTATTTGTTAGTACCAACTATTACTCTGTGCTTTGTCTTCTATATTCGTAAAGTAAACAATTATCTCCACAAAACCCCTTCTGATAATAATCATCGGCTCACTAGTGACTGACTTTAAGAGGCATTTCCTGGAGTTCTAGTGAGAAGCCGTGACCAGTGGAGTTCAACCGGGTCTATTGTGAGATATTAGCTCACTGAGGACAATGGTGTACGGTGACGCAATTTCGTGGATTAGTTGAGGTTAGAAATTAACACCGTTGGATGCTGGCTCAGTGGTCTTGTGCTTAGGCGCCGGCGCGCGAGACTGATAGGTCCTGGGTTCGAACCACGTGGGGTGCGGGGTCGTGGATGCGCACTACTGAGTAGTCCCACACTATGACGAAACGGTCGTCCAGTGCTTCGAGGTTTCCCATGGTAGCCTAGGTTCAATTGACTCATGAGTTCAACCATTGAAATTATTGAAATTTTCAATAAGTTATTACTGTTTATTTCTATGACTTACATAACTTATCTTTAATATTTAATTTTTATGTTTATTTGCGCAACCTCCTATTTCATTTGTAGACCATCATATGTAAATTTAACTGCAATTACGTTTTTACAAGTTTAGTGTATAATATTCTGAAAAGTGATTCCTTTTTCTTTGTACTGTCGTCATTTGTTTGGTAACATTAATACTTTCACTAGATCTTTAATTCTCCCGTGACTTTTCTTTTTTAATCTATATGTCAACCGAAAAATTTAATCCACATTGTAATGATTAGTACCATTACTATTTTGAGGGTTGTGGGGATTATCAAGGAAAATTTTACGTGAGGCGAACTTGAATGTCCTGGCTTCGATCCTCTGTGGAGTGCTCATAAAAGCACACTACTGAACAATCCCACACTAGAACAAAACAGCTATCCGATACCTTGGTGTTATTAATGATTTTGTAACTTAGTTAAGTTCGTGATTCCGATTGATATTATCGTGTAGTGGCTGGTACTATTTAAGCCCATATAGGTTATTCTAGATTCTGGACACACCAATTTATTCATTCTTCTCAAGCTACATTTCGGCCTTGTCACTTATTCGCTTATTAATACTGAATGTTGTTTACATGGTCGTATGTGTTAATTACGCTATTCATTATGTGCGTGTAACTTATTTTTGATTGACCCTAAGTATCGAGTCAAGCATGATTAACTTGAGTTGCCTTACTCTCCTTCTCCGTTTCGTTTCCTTGATTGTTTATCCAAATCCAATGTTGTATGAAATATACGAATTCAAAATACATTCTCGTATTTGACTTATTTAATGCCGTTATTTACTAATGCGATATAAGTCGTTAATCATAAACGAGGGTTGATGGTATGTATATTTCGATAACAAATCATCATAAGGAATAACTGGAGTCAGATACTGGGTCACTAAAATCGTTTATAAGTTGTAGATATCTAAAATGAATTCATCTTATTCTCATAACACTGATGTTCATACTTTGCTGAAATTTACAAAGGGAAGGTATCGAATAAAGCAACCTAAATATTTGTCTACCATTTAATTGAATTAAATGACTGATTTATAACTATCGATACTTGTCATTTACCTGTTTCCCCTAGACTTCGCCTTTATATAGGTATAATGATTTCTGGAATTAGAGCAGCAGAGAGTAGCCGTCGTTATTGACTGTCGATCACATGATGAAATGTGTCATATCTGACAGTTTCGTAACATGTTTTTGATTAGCTGACTGAATTGATTCTTTTCATGAATAAGAAATTCGCATAGATTTTTTTTTATTTTTACAGAGAAAAGCGATTGTTTTAAGGTACTTAATTGTACTTTGTTCAACTACTCATTACCACGATATGTATTT